CATCTTGCTAATAATGTTTCTTTAGTCATTCGGCAGTCCTGCAGCCCGAACAACTGTATGAAATCCACTCTTACAACTTCACTCAACTTGCATTCAATGGACACTTTACTAACCCATGATGCCAAAGGAGAGGATTTACGAATGGCAGTGAAGTAATCACAACTGACTCTGAATAGCTTAATGAATTCCAATAAGTATTAAATAAAAAAAATAACATTTATTAACACTATCTTACCGCAAAGGTCTAATTATTTTCTTTTCAATTCGGACATGTTTATTTTGCCACATAATGTTTTTCGTTCCCTTTTGTTCCCTTCTATAGCAGGGATGTATGCGATTTCGGATGCAGTCACTGATTTTAACTCTGGAGTTAGGGAGCTGATTGAGGCCTAGTCCACACGTATGTGGGTATTTTTATTAACGGAGAAGAAGAAAAAAATCGCATCCACACAAGCACGGTTTAAAAAAAATCTCCATCCACATTGCATGAAAACGCAAAAACAAGATATGAACCACTATTGCACAGACTCATCTCATGTAAACTAAGGAGATAGAGGAGCATAATCTGATGTCAAACAGGAAATAATAGCGCACACTCTGACGTCACAACCCAAAATCCCCTGGCAGGAGAATTCAAAAAAGTTTGCCATAAAGGAATTAAGCTTAGGGCACCAAAATGGTTAGCAGCGGCACTGCCTGTGTATTTGGATCTTTTGCCATGTCATGTTCTCATTGGTTTATGGTCATGTCATGTGTTTTTCAGTTGTGTGTTGCCATTGGTTCATTGTGTTGATTACTTTTAGGTGTGTCTTGTTGTGTCATTAGTCCTTGTGTATACATAGACATCATGTTTCTGTAGTCTTTTGTCAAGCTTTGTTCTCTGTAAATGTTGTTTGGTGAGTATCAAGTGTATGTTTCTGTTTCTTTAGTCAAAGTCATGTTTTGTTTATTTTCAATAAATTGCACTTGGATTCAACTGCGCTCCTATGAGTTGGCTAAATATAACGATGTAATGGAATACAGTCATTTACTGCAATAATTTGAGAGAGAGAAAAAAGTTCAATTTCCGAGCATCTGAACACCAATTTTTTATATATATATATATATATATATATATATATATATATATATATATATATATATATATATATATATATATATATATATAAATATAAATATAAATATTGTGTGCTCATGTGTCCCCTTAAAATAATTCCAGGCCTTTCCTTCTGTTCACACATTCAACATGCTGGTGCAAAAGCTAAGCTGGGTCACTTGTAAGTACTTAAAAAAAAAAAAATCATGCAAATTGAATTGGTTCCAATCTTCTAACTTGTTGTTATTGGACTTTCAGTGCTGCTGTTTCTGTACCAACATGGTAAGGCAATTGACTAAAACATGTGCAGTCTCATTAAAGACTTTTAGGTGCAGAACGTTTAAATAATTTTACTAATTTCCTATGCAGGGGCAGAAGCCAAAGAAAAGGTTGTTTGTGAAGGAGAGTCCATGTGTCTCAAATGTGGTGAGTAATTAGTCATTTGAGTTATGTTTGGCTTTTGTTCACACAGTATGAGTATCTTGAGCCTTTGTGTCTCCAACCACATGGAATGTATTTAAACTGCCACAATTCTGTTCTACATCAGATTCGGGTTTCATAAAGGTCATTAAAGCCAACTATGGGCGAACTGATTGCAAAACCTGTGCTAGTGGGAAACCAGCTAATCAGCTCTCAAATAAACAATGCAGAGCAGAAGCGTCCCTCTCTATAATGTCTGCTCGGTAGGTTTGACCGATAACATAGGAAAATAAATGTACAATTTCAGTGTATGCATTAGCACAAGATGCATATGTGTATAGTATATTAGTGCTAATAAGTACTTGTTGTTTGTCTGTCCATGAATCAGGTGTGATGGAAGAAAGAGCTGTACTGTTCCTGCAGTGAACTCTGTTTTCTCTGATCCTTGTGTTGGGACTTATAAATACCTGGATGTATCTTATGAATGTATCCCAGCAAGTAAGTAATTTCCATCGTTCACTTTGAAGTTTAATATTTTATAAAGGAATAAAACCAAGGAATAAAATATTTGCATATCTTGTACTGGAGTAACTGTATTGTCTGACCTCTGTTCCCCTTCTCCCCCCCCCCCCCACCTCCCCCCCCAAAAAAATAGAAATAAGTGTAACCTGTGAAAATGGTCATAGCGTCATTAAGTGTTGTAAGTACTTTTTGTTGTTTTTGTTTTTCTTCTATGTTCTTTACTATACTGAGATCAGAGTGTATAGCCTCATGTCCACAATGCTTTGAATGGATCAGTCCTGCTGAAGTACATGTTGGCACATAGTTTTTTTTTTTTTTATTAAAGTGATTAATTGATATCGGTGTCTGTGTATCACAAGGTAAAGGTGTTATTCATGTTCATCATGCCAATTATGGACGACGGGATCTCGTAACCTGCCCTCATGCATTGGCAACCACACCAGACTGTTACTCTCCTCAGACCAGCAGCCTGCGTTCCAAGTACAGCACCAGATACACTTCATCTAGAGTCACTTTAGGTCACACTGTCTTCAGCTATTCTTTAAATGTATCCAAGGGACAATGTATATTGAGAATCATTATCCTGTGCATTAACTTTTACACATGGACAACAAAGAAAAATGTGACTAGTAGTTTGAGACCGCAGAATGATACAAGAGCTAATAGACAGTCTTTTTCTAATTCTTCCAATTTCTTTCTTAAGGTGCGACGGGAAGAAGTCTTGTCGACTATGTGCTTCAAATTCTGTCTTCACTGATCCATGTGTGGGTGTCTATAAGTATCTGGAAGTGACGTACTGCTGTAAATAATATTGACCATCCTGCCACAAATGCACTTTGTCCATGTGTCATGATTGTCAACAAATGACAATGCAGAGCAAAATAAAGTTTAATCCAGATGCTTTAAAAATGGTCTCATGAATTTCAGTGAAAAAACTATTGGTTTCTAATTATTATTATTATTATTATTTTTTATTTTTTGGCGATTTTTGTAGGATTGTCTCACATATCTGTTACACTACACTGTAAAAGCTATCAGGGTTTTTACATTAAAGGTGCTCTAAGCTATGTTGGTTGATGTCACTTCTCATTGGCTCTTAAAGTATTGTCAAACAAAACGGAGGATAGCTAGACCCTCCCTGCTCATCTGCACACTAATCCCCCAAATCGTTCTTGTCTGTTATTGGCTGGAACAGTTTGTTTCGTGGCACGGGTTGCTACAGTTCGTTTTTGCTGCTGTTTGTGGAGCCTGGGGTGTCTGCAGAGATAGTGTCTTTTTACTGTGTGTTCAGGGGACAGGCAGCTAGTGAGGAGATAATGTATGTGACAAATGTGTTGGCCTAAAAAACACTTGACATCGCTAAGAGCATCAAAATAAGCTAAACCACTTAGTTATACAATTTTAAACAAGTCTGTTAAATGTAGTTTCAGTTGAAAAATACTTCTAGAGTTGATTTTACTTAAAGGCAGCTTTTTTTTCTTTCTTTTTTTTTTAAATGGTATAAATATGCTTTAAAAATTGGGTTTTCACAGTGAAGCCATAAGCATTTTTGGCTCCCAAAAGAGAATTTTTAGTGAACTTAAAATAACCACCAAATTATTGAACCTATAAAACGAGTTCTTTCATTTCTATTTCTTGTAAAGCTCTTTTGTAAGAGTTTGTATTGCCAAAAGCACTCAAAATGTGTAAAGCATCCTAACATTTGCAAATACACTATAAAATCTGATTTAAAGTGCTTGAGTAACGCTGTCCTATATCAAGAAGCCTCCATCATTGCCCCACCACTTCAGAGTGTGTGCTAGACTCTTTCGCTGAGAAACATTAAATACACTTGCATCTTGCACAGATTTTTATGGGCTGCACTGTTTCCAACAAATTGTTTGTAGGAAATCTGGTTTTACACCATCTGTCTAGAGACTTAAGTTATGGAGGGTTCATGTGAAAAAGTGCTTTAAGGATTCTTTATGATTTTTTATATTAATTATTGCTTAATTTCTACTAATATACTTATGTTGCAATCTGACCATGTTGAAATGTCCTGTGTATGTTTTAAGAAGCTCAAAAGGTACTTTCAAACAACAGGCCTAAGAGGGAACAGGTTTGTGTTATAGTTTAAAAGGCTTATCGCATCTGTGTAACAAGGGAACCAAAGGATGGCAGGCAGAAACATGGATATGAGTGCAGGAATTTTAATAAGAAAAGCAAAACCATACAAGGAACAGGTAACAGGAGAGTGTTACAAACAACTGACAAAGAAACATTACCATTTGATTTATAGACAACATGGCACACCTGCGGAAACAATCAAGAGGAACCAAACAGAAAAGAAATTACAAAAGGACTGGCACAGGAAACTACAACATACAAGTCTAACACATAACATGTCAGTATTCATGTTACATGATGAGAAAGTCTTTAGATTGAAATTTTACAAATCAAAGACAACTTGTGTTTTAGATTCTTCTACAAGAATTTGAGATGTTTTCACACTAAATAGGCCTAATTTTTCTTCACAATCTTGATTGTTTTCCATTTGGCAGTGAATGCTGTTTTATTTCTTTATAGTTTTACTCTTTGACAACATTATATACATTTATGTAGATAAAACAGATTTGGAATACCACAAAAGTCACCTCAAAATTAAAAGAAAAAATAATTAAAAATTATACTTGTTTTTACAAAATGAAGCCATTTTAGAATTTGTTTTTGAACAGTTTTTTTTTTCTTTTTTGAAATATCTTACCTTCCATTATTCTCATTTGTTGACACGTGATCAATTATAATTACAGATTCATTATAATCATTCATTTATTTTAAGATGAACCCCATATTTCAATTTATTGTTTTGTTTGGTCTTGCTGGGGAGTGAATGAAAAGGCCAAAAACTATTAGCGTGCATTTAACATCTATAATTTAGCCAGTTTTTATTTAAAACATAAAATACATTTATGTGGTAGGATAATCACAATATTATTTACAGCTGTATGACACTTCCAAATACTTATGGACACCCCGACATGGATCAGAGAAGACAGAATTTGAAGCATTTACGTGACAAGACTTCCTCCCATTGCACCTAAAGATAGGGTATAAAAAAACAGCATTTATTATTATTTAACATTGCTTGCCTTGTGTAGGCTATCATTCTGAGGTCTATTTGTTTCTCCCATATAATCAATTAATTTTAAAAAAAAAAATGTATGTCTATATATTCATTTGGTAAGTAGCTATTTAATACACAGGATGAAAAAATATACAGTATAAGGGTGGGCGATATTGTAGATTTGAAAATCATGCTTTCCCCATTATTGTTGAATCATAGAAGCTACACCATTTGCCAATCTCTGCTCAGTGAACGTGTTACATTGCACACATACCTCTAAGAAAAATATAGCTCATCCCATATCTCTGCTCAGCACACATACAACATACTCTGACTTCACAAAATACATTATGAAATTATTATGAAAATTAATAAAGAAAAATAATACTAAAAAATAACATTAAACAGTAAAACTGTTGTCTTCAGATATGACCAGAATCTTATATCGCAATACGAGTAATTTTATTATTAAAATAATTATATCGTTATTTTTACTTTAAATAAGGTTTTTATGATATCAACATTGAACATTGAAATGTTATAATTCTCGCTACCAATTTTGATATCACGAAAACATTCAAATAGCCCAAAAGTTAACAAAGACAAGGCCTAGTCTTCACTATATCAATTAAATACATTTATGTTCATTAGAAGTGATTCAGTCAAGAGCAGTGTATGATTTTCTTTGTTTTTGGTTGTTTAACTAAATGACACAGATGTGCTTTTCACACTTGGAATCACCCTGCAGGTCATTCTAAACCCCGAGTTATCTTGCTTCAGGTTTCACACAGTTCATACTTTACCAGGGGTTACCAATGAATCCTGGGTATTCGTACGGTAACGTTTCACACTGTACAGTACATTCCTAAACCCCAGGTTACGTTCTCATTTGCATATTCGCAGTGTCATTGATTGACAGAACGAAGCACGCAAAGTGTGTACATAAAGGCTAGCATTGCGCATCCTCATATTACATACAGCAGATAGTAGACTACTATGAAGTTTCCAAACTATTTAAGGTAAAAATAAACATTATTTTCTTCACTCCAATTAACTTGTTTCCCATCACCATTTGACATTTCCCCTCAAACGCTGAAATGAAATAGTAAATGATAGGCATCTAGTCGTAACATTCTAACACCGCATCGTTTCATACTCTACAAGTTTGGCACCGCAATGCGGTTAAAGCAGAACTCGGCAACTTCTAGTCATCTTCGCTAGTTCTTCTTCGCTGATTTTCACTTTTGTTGTTGCATGTTTTCCCCACGAGCTCCCCCTACAGCTGTGGGGCGTATATTTCACAACACTGTCGTAAAAAAACTCACTTGCGGCACCCTTCTCCCCCGTTCTACCGCTGCTCATGTGCATTTGTTATTATCGGAGCCGGCCAACTTTACTTGCGGAGCTATGTCTACCGAGGTGGGTAATACATCATACACATTATCATAGAACATTGACATGTACATTTTGTATTCTGTTATCAACCAGTAAAGCAGTTTGTGTTTCTCGCTCATTCTCGTTCTCATCTCGCTTCTCACGAGACTTCCGCAATTTTCATCTTGCCGGGACGGTAGTCCCCATGTTGCAAGGTTGGTTTTCCGCCTGGGAACGCTGGGGGGAGCTGGGAAAGTCACCAATATCACCAGAACAGGTTGTTTAACCATCCAAATGATTTCTAGACAGCTTTATTAAGTTAAAAAAGTTACCATGTTCCCCTTTAACATCGCAAAAGAAACTGTCAGATCTGCTTCTGTGTCTTGTGCTCTGTGGGACTTCTAGACGCACCCTTGCGGCAGCAAAATTTATTTTGCAGCCAGTGTAGCTAGCAACTCTCCATTGGCTTTCGAGCTGGAAAAACCAAACTCTAGTCAGGCCAATCACATCGTTTATAGAGTTGGTGGGCTGGGCTTAACATAATGAAAGCAGAGTTGTGACGGTTCCGCGTGAATTCCCTGCTACTTGAAAACAAAGAAGATGAGCGCTGCAGCTGGCGAACAGCGGTCTTTCGAATCGGGAGGACTTGGAGTTAACTGGAGTTGACATAGAACTGTCATTAAGACATTCTTAAAAAAGGAAGATGAGTTCGGAGTTTGGCCGACCGGATACGGCAAAAGTATATATCAACTAGCTCCGCTTTTACTGTCTATGGGGAAAACGCATGGGACTCACTCAGCCACAACCGGTTGCTCTGGTTGGTTGTAGCCATAGTGTAGTGCTATCCTATATGCTGATTTCACGCAGCCGCCATTTTGAAATCGAAAGCGAGGCTCCGGTGGGAAGAACCCCGGAAGTACAGATAGACAACAGTGACTACCAACTGAAGCTGCTGCCGCGATTTACACTATTGGATGTTATTATCCAATATAGGACATATAGTTTGTTCCTGCTTCTTTTTTTACGTTCTGAATTATATATAAAAAAATGATTAAATGAATTTCACTGTATATAGTCTAAAATATGAAAGAAATGTATGTACATTTTTAGAATAACTAATTTCTACATTAAACACAACAATATGCCATCGCATTCGCGACTCTCCTATGATTAAAGGCGACACTTCCGGTTTTCTTCCCACCGGAGCCATTTCAAAATGGCAGCTACGTGAAATCAGCGTATTGCGTGCAGAGGGAATTTGAAAGACAACTGTTTTTCCCGCCCTTCGGATTGAGGCATGCCAATGGTGAGTTCCCAGACCTAACATCTTGATGTGGGTCTGGCTTGCCAGGCTATCCAAATGATACACTTTTGTGACGGCCGCAGCACTACAATCAGATGAGCGTAACTGCGATAGAGACAATAATACTAATCTCTAGAGGTTGACAAATTCCTACCAGTTTACCGTGTCTACCGGTATATCACCCACCCCTAATTGTCCGTTATGTATATTCTGCATAATGTTTCACATACAGTATAGCTGAAGATTCAGTTTATGTCTGTGTACGTGTTCCTGATGTCTTAAGTGACTCTAGATGAAGTGTATCTGCTGTACCTGGAACGCAGGCTGCTGGTCTGAGGAGAGTAACAGTCTGGTGTGGTTGCTAATTTATGAGGGCAGGTTACAAGATCCCGTCGTCCATAATTGGCATGATGAACAAAAATAGTACCAATATCTTTTGAAACAAAAACAGCACATTTTAAAACAGTAATGTGTGCCACCATACACTGTAGCTGGACTGATCTATTCAAAATATTGTGGGCATGAGGACCTTAAGGGCTATACAAAATTCTCTACCTTTTTTGATGCTATATGATCTCAGCATAGAAAAAAACTTACAGAAAGAAAAGATAGATCTTACCACAGACAATGACGCTTTGGGAAAATTCACAGGTTACACTTCTTTCTAAAATTAGTTTGAGGAAAATGGGAACAGAGGTCAGTAATAATAACAGTAATAACCAGTTCTAGACACAAGGAATTTTTTCAACTTCAAAATCTAGGATGAAAATGATATGTATAAAACCACTGGCTTACTTGTTGGGATACAGACATAAGATACATCCAGGTATTTATAAGTCCCAACACAAGGATCAGAGAAAACAGAGTTCACTGCAGGAACAGTACAGCTCTTTCTTCCATCACACCTGATTCATGGACAGACAATGACAAGTAGGCCTACATAAGAATAGCTTTAATATACTATTGACAAAATGATTACACTTGTTAAATTATGCATAAAAAGAGATTGTAAACTTTTTTTTTTTTTTTTTTTTTTGCTATCTGTTAATCCTACCGATTGGACATCGTGTAGAGGGATGTTTTTCGGAAACAGTGTTTATTTGAGAGCTGATTAGCTGGTTTCCCACTAGCGCATGTTTTGTGATCAGTTCGCCCATAGTTGGCTTTAATGACCTTTATGAATCCCAAATCTGACACATTTAAAGAAAAAAGAAAAAAAAAAAAGAAAAAAATTAACATGAGAATTGTGGTAAAGTTTAAGCACACTGTACAGGGTTAAATTCCAGGCTCAAGATCCCCTTCTTTTCTATCCGGACACAAAAGGCCAAAACTAAATGATTGAATTACTCACCACAGCTGAGGTACGCAGATCCTCCTTCACAGATCTGTGTTCTTTTTGCTTCTGCACCTGCAGAGAGGTAGGCGAAATTATATAAAATGACATGAAGTGAAATAAATTGCAATGTAATAATGTCTTTTTTTATTTATTTAAAGAGACTATAAACATTTGTCAAACTGCCTTACCTTGTTGATACAGAAACAGCAACACTGAAAATCACAATGAAATAGAAACAAATTGGAAAACTGAACATTTGAAATCATGCGAGTTGAATTGTTTCTAAATCAGTACTTACAAGTGATCCAGCTTAGCTTTTGCACCAGCATGTTGAATGTGTGAACAGAAGGAAATCTCTGGAATTCTCTTAAGGAGACACATGTGCACACAGTATTTATAACAAACACAGACCCATTATCTGTTTACTGTATAACCAATGCGGGAAAAGAACAAGGAAATTATGACAAACAGGTCAATCGTTTATTGTTAACTTGATTGATTGTACTTTGCAAATGTTTTATGATTCTATGGTATCCTATTTTATTGCTTTGTTTTGTTTAGAAGTTCAGTCAACTTTAGAAAATTTCTGGAAAATTTGTTCCTGCTGTGAGATTGCCTGCTTTAACACTCCCAGAGCGTTCCCGTCACCGTGTTCTGTGCTCATCTCGGACAATCCACCAGTGTTTCCCAATCCTGTTTCTGCAGACACACCCATGTTTATGACATTTTTGTTTGAGCTCTTCCTAATTAAACTAATCTGATTCAACTCATCAGCTTGCTTATAACAAAGACAGACCCACAAATATCTGTTTACTGTGCGGAAAAAGAACCACATAAGGACATGTAGACAAACAGGTCAATCGTTTATTATTAACTTGATTGATTGTACTATGCAAATGTTTTATGATTATATGGTATCCTATTTTATTGCTTTGTTTTGTTTTGAACAATCAGTCACCTTTAGAAAATTTCCGGAAAATTTGTTCCTGTTGTGGGATTTTGTGCATTTACTATTTTATATGATTTTAATAACATAGTAAATATTGAAATTAATATTAGACTAAGATTAATAAATGCTGAAGTATTCACGGGTGTTCACTTTACATTAAGGTTCACTTTCACAGGTTATTAATGTTTGTTACTCATGAATAAATGGTTCACGGGTCTTCTTTTTACATTCACATTCACCGGTTATTAATTTTTGTAACTCATGAATAAATGGGTCACAGGTGTCCACCCTATAAAGTTCACTTTCACATGTTATTAATGTTTGTAACTCATGAATAAATGTTTGTAACTTTGGTTCACAGGAGTCTTTTAAAAATGTTCATTATTAATATTTCATCAAGTTATGGTTGTGCTCTGGGTTTTTTTTTTTTTTTTTAAATAAAGTTTGACAATTTTGTCACCGGGTGATTATTAAGAAAATGGGCGGCAGGTTTGGAGGGGGAGGAGCTAGAGCGGTGATTGGGGTACATGCTCCCAAAAGATTAGTATAAAAAGGCCATTTAATAGAGAGACGAAATAGAGGACACAGGGAGAGAGGTACAGAAAGGGAAGCCGCGAAAGGAGAGAACTTGTGGTATGTTTATTCCTCACACAGTCTGGAGAACCCCAAGCCAGCAGCATGAAGGATCCCGGCGGAGATCCCGGAGGCTATTGTGGATTGCAGTGTCTAGTGTGGAAACAAGCACGTTTGAAGTTTCGAGTGTTTTGCTGATTGCACGAGTGTGGGAAATTCTAAATTCTACTTCCACTCGTAGTCCCAGCTGTTACTGATCCTCTGTTGTTCAGTCTCTGTCGCCAGGAATGAAGAATCACTGAGCCGGTGAGCGAATGTGAAGTTGAGCTGTTACTGACCCTCTGCTGTTCAGAGCTGGAGGAACCATTGAGCCGGTGAGCGAATGAGAAGAGCTACTGATCCTCTGAAGTTCAGTCTCGATCGCCAGTAATGAAGAACCACGGAGCCAACTTTTAAAAAGACTTTTTATAATCCAATAAAGAAATATTGTTATTTTTCAACCGCCTGTCTGCCTCATGTGTTCCACGGTCTGCTCCTCGGGGCGGTATTTCGGTTTGGGGGTGGGCGGCCCGCTGGCGCTCAACCCGACCTGTGACAATTTCATCTTACAGTTTTATTGAATTGCTAAAACGCATTTCTTAAAACCATCACTCAATTTCTCAAAACCTTAAACCCAAAACCACATTTTCAAACCACATTCAGAGAACCTGACTCTTCTGGCAAAATCAAACAATGGCCTCAAAACCATTTTGCTCAAAATCAAACCATGCTTTCAGATCATACACACAGCGAGTCAATTTTATAAACGCTACAGACCATTCGTTAGACACTACGTCAAAAAATGGAGAACACAGAATCCAAAGCATGCAGTTACAGAAAAAAACAAAGTAGGCCTAAACAAATTTTGTAATTCGTTATGACAACTTATGTGAGGTGAATAAATTGTATAGGCTACTAAATGCACTGCAAGTATAGTACTGAATTGTACTGAATATTGTATAGTATTGAATGTCTATACCCACCTTGGCATACAGTGAAAATACAGTGACCCAACTGCAAAAGCCAAAAAGGTTACAGTAAAAAACTCTAAATGAAAAGCATGTACAGTAAACTCAACAGTTTCAAGGTCAGTGAGAGAAATTAATTCTGCTTCAGCATCATTTTGAAAAAGTGTAATGACGGAACAGTATTTTAAAGTATAACCCAATCCAGCTGTCCAACGTTCCTGATCCAAGCACTGATCTATATAGAATGACATTATCATTATATAGAAGATCAGTGGATCCAAGTCTGCGTTCGGTTTCACCTGGTTACCATGGTTACCAGTACACATCAGGACGCTATGGCGACACGGGGCGCAGGTAATTGTACCCATTACCAGACATCTTTTGCCATCAAAAATGAAATGTACTAATTGTTTTTTAACAACTTTCAAGCTCCACTGGTCGCGTTCGGCAGCTGCCAGAAACGTCTTATATTCCCAACGCATTTTGCGCCTAATCGCATGGGCAATGAAATGCTCGCACTGCGCGGCTCAACTGACTCCAAGAAACTAGGACCTGGATGTTACGACAACCACACGGTATGCATGAAAGCAGGGCCGTTATTAACTTATAAGTTAAATCTGCAGTCCTTAACTCTTGTGTTCAAGATGTACAAAAATATAATGAGCGAGTACATCATGAAATTGTCTTATCCTGAATCACTACGGTAAATTACATGCGTGACTCGTGTCATAACAGAGAGAAGTAGCTCCGGCTACAATGTTCTTCTGCAAGATGCAGTTCTAGAGCTCCAAAAGTTATGGACTGCAGCGTTAAGCAACGTGTTATTCTTTTCATCTAACTTATCAGTTCACAGGTGGGCACTCTTATATATGACCTCCAACACAGACCTGAGAGTAAGAGGGGATATGTGTTAGCAGCCCGTACTGCACCACGCTTTCTGCCTCCGTTTAAGGTACGTACGTTAGGCCTATATTTTATGCATTTCTAAGTAAAATCACAACAATTTTCTTTGTTTTTTATTAAAACAAAAAAATTGCATATAGACAGCCACCCCTTCACCACAGAAATACCAGCAGGACTGGACGCAGTCTAAAGTGTGTCCTCCAGGAAAAACTCCCTTCAATAGTACCACTGTAAGACCCAGGCCCTCAAATGCAGACTCCAGCCCTGCCCCTGGGTATGATCTTTTTGAACATTTGACTATAAGTCTATCAAAAGCTGTGTTTGAAGGCCCCATGATTTTTCCAGTTGTTCCTGATTTACCGAAAAAAGGATTAGGGATTCAGTAAAATAGGCTAGAGCTTGAAATAATGTATTATTGGAAAATGTATATTATAAAAATAGACGTTTTTATTTATTTGCATGCCTCTGCCCCCTTGAGAACCACTAATCTAAAATTATTTTTATATTTATACCCCCCATCTAATTATTTATATACTGGGTTTAATAAATCATTAATACAAAGCATTAATAAATAAAGAGAAATGTGGGGTCCAAAAATGAAAATGTTTCTTTCTTCATTTTTGTAATTTACTTGTTTTGGTGCTTTACAAATCATATTACCAACAACAATCAGTGAATGTTGAATTGAAAAATCAACATGAATTTCAGAATGACCATCTTGAACTCCACAAGTATGTGAACCTGATGGTTATGTCCTCCGGCATTATTTGGGAATGATTCAAAAAGCATCTATGTGCTTCTGTATAAGCAAGGACATCCTAAAATGTTTAATTCCAGGTTTAAAGGACATGAATCCCAGACTTTCTATGTATATCTTTTTTTCTTTTTTTAGTCCAGGGGCATATACTCTCAATACCATCCCAAGCAAAAGGGTGTCGTGGCCAATGAAATTCGGCTCTCCAGACTGGTCAAAAGTGCCGTTGCTGGAGAGAAGAGCACTGCGGACAGAGGTAAAGATATGTCTGACACACTTCTGAAAATTACAAATCAAAGAAGAAATAAAAGTATCTACACAACAGTCTGTTGAGCTTAATGTATTTTTCCTTAGCTGATATATTCTTTTCATTTTTAACTTCATGTGTTTTGTCTATGCAGCTCCTCCATGACAAAGAGTTTAGGAAACAGAGGAACAGGGTGGCATATCTGAGCTTGTTTTACTGATGACTCTAAAATACTACCACAACAATGCAGTGTGATTCTCAATGTATACAAACATTAAAGCTTTAAAAGACAAGTTCTACTTGTTTCCCATTTAATATGTCCAGTTTGAAACCATATTTTTGAGGTGTCCTATATTTGACTCAATCCAGGTAAATTACTTAAAATTTAACTAATGTAGTAGTGAGTAAAGTAACAAGACACAGGACACATGTTTCTAATGGAGATGTTTACTTTATCCCCACGTTCTGGTTTAATTTTCAACTTGTCCTTTTGAAACAACAGCTTAAAATAAACAATAAAACACATGTATTACCATCATTCACAAATGAGTAACAAATACGCACAAATCAAAAGAGAATGTCATGTTTCTGATGTGTGGAGAACTGTAAAAACTAAATGACATTTCAAGGGAAGGCTTATCAAAACAAACTGCCAACGATTAACTGTAAGGGGTGTTACTCTTTAGGGAAGTTGCCTGTGTGAATTCCATCTAAAATTTTTGAGATATAGGAAAACCAACGTCAGTAACATGATGGACCACTGTGTTTCCAAATTGCAGTTGTTGAAGACTCCTCCGTGTGTTTGCTGTTACTTCAAGGGGCACAATGTGATTAGCAAGTGCTAAGAAGTCATCATTCGTCATAACTTGCTGATGTAGAAGTAGCCGGGTCAAATCAGTTTTCATTTTTTCCTTCTCACTTTGGGCTTTTTGACTGGCCGTAGGTATGGGTTGTCAATCATGTTTTCCTCATTGGCCTTCCCTGTAGGTACAGCACCACCAGGTGGCAGCACTGCATTCTCCTTATCTGCACCCGAGTCATCCTAGAAATGGAAAGAAAATAATTAATACAATTTTTTACATGTATACTATTAGAATAATTTTTACATTATTATTATTAATTTATTATATATATATATATATATATATATATATATATATATATATATATATATATATATATATATATATATATATATATAAAAATGTAACATTTATAACATTATAAATTAGTAATAATGTACTTATCTCTTCCAATAGTATGCATTGTATGTGTATATATATATATATGTGTGTGTGTGTGTGTGTGTGTGTGTGTGTGTGTGTGTGTGTGTGTGTGTGTAAATAAGCACATTATTATTATTATTATTGATTTATTTGATTATTTATATGTATAAAAAAATATAGAAAAACAACAGACAAGCAAACATTTTCTTGCATAAAACAAACATTTTGACAAGGAAAAAAGCTTTAGGCTTGCCTGAATGATGTGACTGGGGTTGTTCTCTGTGTCTGTCTGGTCGTCCTGCTCGGATGAATCCGTCTCCTCCAGGGTCTGTAGCTCTAGTTCAGAGGGCAGCAGGGCGCTCAAGTAAGGGATGGAGCTCGGCCTTGCAGCGATCACTGACAGATGAATAAACAGATGAATAAACATTCACTAGGAAAGAATAATGGGAATAATGGGAAGTCAAAGAATAATGGGAAAATAGTGATATATGGGACAGAAAAACTCACAAGGAAATGCACTGATGTCATCCTTGAAAAGGCTTTGTGTCTCTCCGGTCTTGGCCATGAAGCGTGTGAGAGCACGCTCCACATCTCTCCTTTGTGATGCCGCCTTCTCTCTCACCACCTGGTAATCTGACACAGGCTCTCGAAAGGTCTAAAACACACAAAAGTGAGAGATGCTGAATGTATGTGCTTAATGTTAGCGGTTGTTAAGCTTAGTTAAGTTGCACAATAACAGGGTGACAGGTAATCAATAGAGGACTTACTGGTGTTTTGATGTATGTATGAGGATCTGGGAACTCTGGGAAGTGGCTGGGGATGTGTGGTGGATGAGTGCGCTTATGTCCAGCCATGAGGGCTTTTGGGACCACTGGAGCATTTGTTACTGGAGCTGTTCAAAGCAGAAGTGTTATACATTTACAAAGGAACAGTCAAAGCAGATTATATAAAATAAATGGATATATTAGTGAAAAACAGTGCACATACGTGCAGTTATGACCATCCTTTGTGATCTTTTGGCATACACTGGAAGAGTATCCACATTAAAACCTGTAAATGTGACAAAGTAAACGTCAGATGAAAATGATTCAACCACAAAGAGAAGTACAGAGCCCCTTTAGGGACCTTAAAGAAACAAAATATACAGACTTTTTACAGACATTTTTTACATGCTCACACATTACAACTTCCGTTTTATGTATTTCTATGACCTATTTCCTTTGTGCGTCACTGCCATTTTACTATGAAGAAAAGGAGAGTACTGATGTGCATAAATTAATAAAGATCGATTTACTAAAAATGTGGCTTTCGTTAGGGCAGTATACCTCTAATATCACGGCCTTATGTCCACTTATCCTCTGTGACGGCTGAGAAACTGCTGTGAAATGGGCTAATGCCACAATACGGCTGTGTGCATTGTCCTATTTGCCGAGTTCAAGGGTCCATTAAAAAAAGACAGATACAGTAAAAGTGCTCAAACTGGCTTTCGTTAAGGCAGACGTCAAATTTCCCTGGGCATGTGAAAAGTTTCTTGTGCGCACGCAAAAGTCTGTACATTTTTTTTTTTTTGCAAAGGTCCCTTTAGGGGCTCAGTAAAGAAGTGAAATCTTTTATACTTTAACTATATATCGATTAAAGGGGAACCAACCCATTTCGACCAGAGTGATGACCACATCAGAGAGTGTAGGGGTGCTTCTAGCTGTGTGCTCACAGTTTGCCTTCGCACAACGTCCAACCTCAGTGATATCTATCACAAGACAATGAGACTCTCAATAAGGAAAACCACATCAAATAAACTTCTGTTCATTTTGAATTTGAAATAAAAACTCAATACTAATAGTATAATTATGAAATAAACAATAAAATAATTTTAAAAAATGTAAATGCAATACACATACATATACACAAACTTATATACAGGTGTATATATATATATATATATATATATAATTTCTATCATGCTATTTACAATATACTAAAAATAAGATAATTAAAATTATACCATGGAATAAGCAGGTTATGTTTTGTTAGTAAAGGAAATTCTAAGAACTCAAAGTGTTTCTTACATTCCTGGATAATATTTATCTAAAGCTGGGTTCACACTGTACGATTTATAATAGTCCTTAATGACTGTTGCTTGTCATTGTACAGACATGATCCCTGCTAAAAGCCATGTCACACTGTAGGATCTGCTATCATTAATGTTAGACTGGTGACTAGCAAACAGACACCATTTCTAGCATTCATTTTGCATTAAAAACCAAGACTTGTGTGTGCAGCAAGTGGTGATTTGCTGTTGTCTCACTAATTGCCTCAATAGGTTCTGCGCCCCAATCAGTTTTTGAATTGACGGTTGTCGTAGGAGAAGCCACACTGCAGGACTGCGCCTCAAAACTTCTGACACTGCCAGAATTTCGTCTGAGGTCAAATTTGATTCCAAAGGTTATTAATCAGCTTCCCACTGCTCTGGGTGTGTGTGTTTAATGCTCACTGCTGGGTGTGTGCACAAATTCCGAGTGTGGGACACCATACCTGGCTAAACGTCACGTCACTTTTACTTTACAGTGTGAACCCGGCTTTACATCCCTGGATGGTCTATGTCCAAGCTAAACATTTGACAAGCCTCACTGGTGACCTGCTTAAGATCAATGAAGGACTCACAGCTCTGCATCATCTCAGTGAGTGTCTCCACCGCAGCTTTCTCAGCGCTCTCAAAGCCACACTCGGTCAGCAGAGAGCTGACCACCACCTGCAGTGTGCGTCTCCGAGCCAGCTGATAGTTCTCTGTAGGACTTGTGCTGGTCTTACTGCTCCCAGAGCGCTGCGATTATTAAAAGAACAGAGTATTAAAGAGCAGGATGTCCTGTGCAAATTTTTTTTTTTTTTTACTTATCTGCATTATTAAAAAAATAAGGCAATTGTTTGGCTGTCTCAAAAACAAGTGTTGGTTCCTGCTATTTATGGCTCTAATCAAAAAGTTGAAACCAGCCTTAGATGTTTTGCTGCTTATCCAGCCTGGTCAAACTGTGAGACAAGTTAAACATTTTAGGGACAGTGGTGTCTTTTGGGGGGTGTGTATTCCAACAGCATTTCTGGGCATAAGATGCAAGACCACTAAGTTTTAGACTTTATGCTAACAGACACTGAACTGTTATTAGATAGCTCAGCAAATGTATTGACCACATGTCGTTTCTATTTATGCATAACATAATAAAACATAATAAAAAAAGTGCTTGCATATGGAAACAGTGTCTACTTTTAAATATAGGACACATTTGCCTTTAAACATGCCTTATATTTAAACAGAGTCATAAAGTTATTGTTGTTTGGCTAAGCTAGCAGGCAGCAAGCAAGAGAAATGAAAGGAGATATTTACGCTTCCGGAGTTTAAAGATCCGCTCCCCATCATTACAGGGTCTGCCATTTTTTACTCTAGTGGTTTTTCCTCTGCTGTTTAATATTCGCAAATAAACTCATTGTGCGGTCTGCGTTTACCAAAGACTGTATTTGTTTTGTTTTTTTATATTGAGTGAAAATGGCAACCCTATCAGAATTTCCAACAGGGCCACCGGAAGGTTGTTGTTTTCGGTGTGTTTCCAAAATAAAAGTCACCAAATAAACTTGCAGACGTATAGAGTAAAAAATATATATAGATTTGTGTGTTGTCTTTGAAGTCATCTATATACTATTGAACTCCTAACCGTTGAAAAAATTACTTTTAGTAGATATGCATATTTACAATTGCTTCAAAATACGGAACAGTTTGTTTGGATGTATGAACTTTGACACATAATGTGGTTGTTTGTTGAACAACACAATATATTGGGAAGCGTTTCTCCAACATTAATTTTAAAAAGCATGATCCTAAAACTAATCTTAAACATTCTAAAATGTTAACTGTTAAATGATAAACGAGAAAGGTTTGTTTGCTCATTTATTTTATTTGTTTGAATAGAAGAGGGTATGAACTCCATTTTGTAAAATACCAAGCCAAGGATTAGAATCACAGAACACGCCTCATCCTGTTGAATAAAAAAGGAAAACAATCAAATCACCCTTCAGTATACACAAGTTTACGCGCCAAATCATGGGCGCCGCCATAACTCTACTTAAATGCACTTCATTTCCGCCGGAAGAGGTTTGCACACAGCGTCTGCCGGTGTACACAGCGACGGTTCCACGACTGGAGATGGCGTTACTATCCCCCACCCGAATTCAGTGCAGAACACTAACATGACGACGTGGCCCAGCATAACGTACAGCGAGATTTGCTCCTACTTCGTGCAATCCATGGCAATAGATGGAAAAGCAATTGGACAATCTGAAAGCCGTCGAGGCATATCAATATCTGCACAGCAACAAAGTCGGTTGTGTCATGTCATACACAGCTAGATAAAACAGACATAACGTGCAAATAACTATCAGTTTATGTCCGTGGTAATAGCAAATGTATCTGTGTGTTACTTTAATGTTTCTTTTAACATAATAACAACAATTGTGGCTAAATAAGTGTTTGCAGTTTATAGCTTAATCAGGGAAGACATTTACATGATTATAGGAAATAAAAGAAGCATGTTGTTGCGGATGGAATACGTGTTTGTATTTGGAAAACGGACTGTAACCTATAACATGACTTACTGCTGAGCTATAAATAAAGACATGATCTCTTTTGCAATTATCCTTATGACTCTGCATTGTTTTACCTGCTGTGTACCAACCAACCATTTTACCGGTTAAAATACCTTTAAATGTCGAAACTAACCCCTTAAAATGCAGTAGCCTATTCTACTTACAACAAAACGATTGAAGCCTCTACTTATTGCAATAAATAATGCAATCACTTTTCGCCACCGTGCCGGATCTCCGGCGTGCGGCCGTGAGAAAAATATTTTCCCGATTCATTTTTGTCCAGCTTTAACGTGTTAAAATATTTAATGCAAACGCAACATCTGTTCTTTCTGTCATCCTTTTGCTAGGGTTATGACCATTCTCTTATTCACGCAAATGCTTTAACCACTCATGCGCGACAAGACAAAAGAGAACGCGCTGTCAGTGAATGTCCTCCTGACGATCCGAACTATATCATAGGCTTCTTAGCTAGAGTGCAAAGTGTGTGTGTGTGTGTGTGTGTGTGTGTGTGTGTGTGTGTGTGTGAGCCATGATGATAATAATTAGGCGATCGAACTGTGTGTGAGAGAGAGGCGCGGGCGCGATACTGTGTGAGTGTGTTTGTGTGTAAACAATGGAGCGCATGGACCTCTTCGTAGCTGGTTTGCGGTCGTAGAACTCTCTATCTAACCACTCGTTCAGGTGCTTTCTCGAGTGTTTACAACCAACTATCACACACATCGTTCCCGAACCACCTTTCTTCATGTTGTAATTGTTATGTCACTGCGATATCAGCGCTTTGTCGAAGCTAGCTAGCAAAACAAACCCAGACCGCCAGAACGGAAGTGGGTTGCATCGACGGGAGGAGTTTAGGATGTAGAGCGGAAACGGCTCATAAACTTGTGTATAGAACATCTACTTTAAACTCTCAAAAACTATTCAATAGGCCTACAATATTTTTTAGTTATTAAGACCTGCATTAAAATATTTTTTAACCAATCTTAACATTTACATAATTTTATAGGCTATTGTTTAGTTAAATTATTTGATTTGATTTGATTTGAAATGATTTAGAAATCATGATATTGTGATTATACTTCATTATAATATTATCTATAGTTTTTAACAGTAGGCATATATTTTTGTTCAAATGTAAAGCTTTGCTGGATCAATATTGTGAAAAAATGCTTGAATTGCAAATGTTTCTTTACAGGTTACACAGCAAAAGTGGCACAGAATAGCTTCTGAAGTGGCATTAGGTGTCTTTATACAGACTGTTTAATGCTGCTCAGGTGGCATAAATGCATTTACACAGTAATTTTAACCGTATACCTTTATTCTAAGGTCTATGGTGGGCCAGAGCAGACACATTTTAGACTGGCTTGTATGTGGTATATTACGTCTTTACACAGAATTTTGAACAGGCACAGTGCAGCCTTAATTCAGGTGTGTAAAAAATGGCTTTACTGTACTGTAATTGCAAGTGTTGGGGAATTTGCACTTTGAAAACCCATTTTCAGAAGTTTGCATTTCCAGGCCCCCAAAACCATAGATATACATAATAAATTATTTTTATAAATGAAATATATAACTACCGTTATATTTTTTAATATACTTTATATATTATAGAGGGGTCCCTTGCAAGGTTTAGCTCACGGGCATTTATTTTGAAAGTTGGTGCAGCAGGCGGCCATCACGCTGCTGTCGCTATTTTCAACTGCCTCACCAGCTAAAGACGCACTCATCACGTCTATAATCGCAACACAAGATTGTAGTCTTGGTTTCCCAGGCTCGATTCTTTACTGATGAGGGACTTTCGGCCCGACTGACACAGGGAGATGGGGGTTCTCAATATTTCAGACCAGGTGAGGGATATTACCTCCACGAGTGGCATAAATCAAGCACATTGTTGTTCGCTTTCTGCGCTTGTATGCAGAGCCTGATATGTTAGCTAGCTTCCCGACGATGGATTATCCTATTTCCCCTATAGTTCTTGCATCAAAACGTGTTTTTTTTGTTATTAATTTTGGTAAAAACCTCACGGGTTCACCGTGTAATGAGGGTAGGACTACCAAAGAGCGGTTATAAATGAAAAATATCCCTTCTATCACGCCCAGACGTTAGCCAGCCAGCTAGCCTAATGAGCTGGGTGTCAGCCAGCCGCATAGGAAAACATTTATTGTGTGCTTATGTTTTTAAAACGCACATGTTTATTAACCTATTTAACAAATACTACGTTTTTTAAGAAATCTCTTTATATAATAACATTGTACGCATATCTATCTACGTAGATACAATAGCAATGTGTGTTGTTTTGCTGCAGCCAGCTTGTTAATGATATTCAGTGATAATCATATTTGATCATAATTATACAGCTATACACCTCACAATTGGCATTCAAAGTTATGCACTCAGAAGTAATTAAAAACAAAGGGTTTAAATTTGTTGTTATGTTTCATTGCAGTTTCTTAACAACCACCCTTTTTCCTTCTCCAGCCGCCTCTGGTCCAGGCCATATTTAACAGAAATGCAGATGAAGTGAAGTTATTTTTGCACAAGAAAGACGAAGTCAATGCACTGGTAGGTTTTAAATGGCATATATTAGTTTGAGCATGAATTATGTGCATCATCTGCTTGTGTGATGGCATAAAATATTAGTAAGAATGGACAGATTTTCTGAATAACTGCACATATAGGCTGTGTGTGCCTGTAAAAATCGTCAGTGTGGAAAAGAAAGTTAAAAAAAAAAATCTGTTACCTTTTTTCCTCCTCCATTCTCGTGTCAGGACCAAGAGCGCCGCACACCTCTTCATGCTGCTGCCTGGCTGGGGGACGTTAACATAATGGAGCTTCTCATCAATGCAGGTATGAAGTTATACAGCACTGCTGCCACCACATGTAATATGTTTTTATTGATAAAATGGATAGTTCTGGTCTCAAATGCTGATTGGTCAATACAGAATTCAAGCCTTGCTCAAATGCAAGAAATAGTAACATGTATGGCCCATTTGCCTAAATTCAGTCTATATCAAGGTTTCCTAAATGGGGGTTTGAGAGTTGATGAAAAGCTAATAATGAATTAAAGGCCCCGATATACTCACTGGTGAAGGTCTATTTCACTGTGAATGTTAAAATAGTGGGTGCCTTTTTTTTTTTTATTACTCGATTTTGTGATTCTACACAATGCGACAAATGGCGAATTGCAGCCTTTGTGAATTCACCATACCACTATGCTATAGTATGGTTTTTAAATGGTATTAATACACCATGCAGCCTTACTGTGCGTTCACACCGGACGCGAATAGCGCGTCAAATTCGCGTCTACCGCGTCTAGTTTGACGCTTGACCACTTTGTGTTAATTCGCGTGTCAGAGGCGAAAGTTTCGAAACCCGTTGGCGGCCATCTTTTTAGATGTTTATCGAGCATTAGCATTATTCGAGAGAGTCACCGCTCGTATATGCTCTGGAGAGCAGAAACAGCTGCGTAGGGGACATCGTCGCTGTACTCGGGTCCACCAGAACCTCCGGAGGGTTTCAGGAGTTTCACAATTTGCTCCAGGAGCTAGGTTTGGTGGACCTAATGGTGAGGACGCTGACGAGGACAGCGTAGGCCGTATAAGCCCTCGGCCTCGAGTGGTCTATGCCTGTCGAGCCCGCGCTCTACAGCCCGGCGCGAGGTTCACCCTCGCCCGCATCCACCTAATCTGTCATTTATTTTTGTTTTGATAATAAATGAAGCCAGCCTCCAAAAGTGATTAATCTGTCCTGTGATTTTTTTCTCTCTCACACACATCACTGTCCAGACACGAACTTATATGTTGGTTGTCTTTACATTATAATAATATTTCATATAATCTAGATATGGAATAAATAGCATTCAATACAAAATGAATATGTCTCATATATTGAAATCAAGTTTTATGTGATAAAATATTTGCTTTGTTGTGCATTAGAACCACAGTCATATATTACAAAATAATTTATTGAAGCATCCAGATACTTCACCACGTGACAGCAGAATTGCTGCAGAAGTTCAGATTTTTCAACTCGGGCGGCAGACGCGAATTCGCGTCAAACGCGTGAAAGCACAAATAGCACTAACTAAATCATTCGCGCGTAACGCGCTTAACGCGCCAGACGCTCAATTCGCGCGAACTTGACGCGCGAATGAGGCGTATTCGCGTCTACCGCGCCGCGCTCTACGCCTCATTCGCGCCGCAGGAATTTTTTACGCGCATAACGCGTCTTTGCATTGACTTAACATTGAAATCACTCGCGCCTGACGCGCTATTCGCGTCCGGTGTGAACGCACCATTAGAAAACAGTCTAATAATGTGGTTGATGGATTCTCGTCCGTGGAATGCACCATTTCTGGGATTTTGCCTGTTACTTGACACAGGTAAATTGCAATCTACTACTGTAATTAGAAATTACAGTATAAAACATACTGTAAATTACAGTATAAAACGTGGAAAAACAGTGTCAGTGTCACTTTCATTTAGCACTACAACTTCAATTTCTCCTATATAGCAGCTCTCTAGTATATTCTCATCTGTGTGCAGCTTATAATATTGTTATATAATAAGTATAATATAGTTAATGCTGCTTCACGTTAACTCCATCTTTGCAAATGTTGTGAAATTAAAGTGTATTTGGGAACTCAATATTTGTCTTGTAAATTGTAACTTTCTTTTAGCAGTAGAGTCGTTAGCTGCATCCCAATTCGCCTACTTATACTACACCCTAAAAGTATGTACTCTTTTTGTAAAGAAAAAGTACGTACTTTTGAGTGTGTAGCAAAAGAGTAGGCAAGCTTTGGGACATACTACTACGTCATCTTTAACGGACAGCTCTGTCGCGTGCATCCTGTCACTGTAAACTGTCAATCATCTTGTCACAGTTAAAATCCTCCATTCAATCTAATTTAATTTCCTACCGTTTCGGAGAGAAATGTAGCACGTTCCCCTTCCAATCGTGGGTCTTTCATGTGGAGACTCTCCTCATGTGTTTGCAATTTGAATATAAATGATGCATTTAAAAGTTAATGGCTAAACGTATCTTTACAAAAGTTCACAATGCTGCTGCAGATGCAATATAATGTAGCCAACATTGAATAAATACATTTTCGTCAGGTTAGATACTAATAACGAATCACTTAAACGCCTTTATCTAAACCTCTCTACATAACCGCCGGACTCACGGGTCCTCCATGTCTGTAGTTTTTGAACACTTTTTACTCAGGTTTGTAGTTCTAACCGAATCCTCGTCCAACACGTGATGGGTTGTGGGTAATATTAGCCGTTAGAGTGCGCATCGATCTGCACTTCGGATTCTGACCGGAAATAGTAGACCATCCGGGTATCTTTGGAACACTCATTTCAACACACTACGATTTGGGATGTACTAATTAGAGTTCTCAACGGGTCGGGTCGGCCCGACAAACCCGACGGGACCCGCGGGTTCGGGCCGGGTTGGGGTCGAAAATATTTGCAAATGACTCGGGTCGGGTCGGACCTTGGGCTTAATCTTTTGAATTGTACAGTGAAAAAAAAAAAAGTATTATTTATCGCTGCTGTTCACTGTAAAGAAAGTCTGGCTGCTGCATGCAACGTGCATCGCGACGCGAGGGCAGACCTGACGCCGCTGCGTGCACGCCTTTAGCCCGGAGAAGAAGATGGAGTTGGTGAAAAGTAAACTTGCCGCAGGTGAAATCACAGTCGCTCAGGGGTGGCGCCAGATAATTTTTAACGCAGGTGCTGAGGGGGTGCTAGATCATTGACAGGGGGAGCTGCGCAATTTTATATATATATATATATATATATATATACACACACACACTATTATTTAAATGAGCAAAATTTATGATGAGATGTGCTCCAGTTCACGTGCAATGCAATCGCCCCCGCGCCTCCTATATCATGATCATTATTGTCTGCAATATTTGCTTCTTATTTATTATAGGCAATTGGTTGATGAAAAATTGATTAAAATTAAGATACAATTTATACAAAACGAAATTCACTTTAAAGAAAGGCTTTCTACAAAACAAAACTTAATTTAGGGTCAAAATCATGTCTGACCCATCATATCTTCCGATAAATTGCGCATCTTACTCATGCTGTTCAATTTTCATAATCAGCATAGATGTAAAAGAAACAACAACATTATAATATTTTAACAAAAATGAAACTAAATGCGCTTATTTAATGGCAACAACACATATAGTGGGCCTATACAGACCATCTAAATATTGAAATTAACAATGCTGTAGAAGTGCAGTTAAATAGTAAATGTTAACTAATCTAATTGTTACCGATTTTTTTTATACACCGATTCAGAGGTCTCGTGAGTTCAGGTGTTGAGTTAAAGTGAATGGTTAAAATGAGTCATTCGTTTGCGTATCGGACGTCTAGCCACGGCACACGTTGTGTGATTATCTCGGCAGTTTAGGACATCGCACAAGATTTGCGTCAATACAGAAAACATTTAATCACTGGATCAGGGCTCGAGACTAACGGCGTCCTATCGTCCTGGGGACGATAGAAAATGTGTTTAGGACGAACAGAAACATTTTCCAGGACGCCTACAGGACGCAAAACATTTTTGTATGTGTGTTCATTTATTACTAGCCTATTAGGCTAACTTACTTATGCCAAATGCCAAAATTAACGGACCAAGCGCTGACTACAACGGAGCGCGTCTTCTCATGCTGTTACTATAGTTACTATCACTGGCCGGCTACTCACCCGGAGACTTGTTCCGCGGTACATCTATCAAATGGCTTAATGACATCGCAAATATGTTGCGCTGGTTAAACAACGGATATTCAATGAATAAAAAATAGACAAAAATGTTAGATAGTGACGATTTAGGAAGAGATCCAGTCAGAGATGTCCTGCGTTTGTGGTAGATGTTTTTGTATTAACGTGCTTATCTACCCAGCGGCACACGAGTTGGCATGCACTGCATGTCTCATAAAACGTTAAAACATGTAAACGTCTGGGAGAATGAGTAGAGCGCACATATATCTGAATAAGAGTGACGACGCAACAAAAAAAAAGCTCTATTCGGTGCGGTTTTCTGTGCGCACACACGACCGAAGCGTCCAGCCATAGACACACAGCACGCGAGGACTGAATTGAGCTCTCTTTCGTGTCTGAATGGACAAAAAACACACAACATTATGTCTAAATGTCCGTTTTGGAGAGTATTAACTTAAACTATGTCGGTTATGTCTTAAACAGTTGTGAGTGTATCGGATGTGCATCAGTGGATTTGGATCAGCATTTCATTGGACAGATCCGACGTCTTAAAGTGACAGTGGGCAATAAACCTAATGGTGCGTTCACACCGGACGCGAATAGCGCGTCAGGCGCGAGTGATTTCAATGTTAAGTCAATGCAAAGACGCGTTACGCGCGTAAAAAATTCCTGCGGCGCGAATGAGGCGTAGAGCGCGGCGCGGTAGACGCGAATACGCCTCATTCGCGCGTCAAGTTCGCGCGAATGGCGCGAATTGAGCGTCTGGCGCGTTAAGCGCGTTACGCGCGAATGATTTAGTTAGTGCTATTTGTGCATTCACGCGTTTGACGCGAATTCGCGTCTGCCGCCCGAGTTGAAAAATCTGAACTTCTGCGTCAATTCGCGCCGCGTTAACCAATCAGGAGCCTAGCTGCTGGCTGCTGTCACGTGGTGAAGTATCTGGATGCTTCAATAAATTATTTTGTAATATATGACTGTGGTTCTAATGCACAACAAAGCAAATATTTTATCACATAAAACTTGATTTCAATATATGAGACATATTCATTTTGCATTGAATGCTATTTATTCCATATCTAGATTATATGAAATATTATTATAATGTAAAGACAACCAACATATAAGTTCGTGTCTGGACAGTGATGTGTGAGAGAGAGAGAAAAATCACAGGACAGATTAATCACTTTTGGAGGCTGGCTTCATTTATTATCAAAACAAAAATAAATGACAGATTAGGTGGATGCGGGCGAGGGTGAACCTCGCGCCGGGCTGTAGAGCGCGGGCTCGACAGGCATAGCTAGACCACTCGAGGCCGAGGGCTTATACGGCCTACGCTGTCCTCATCAGCGTCCTCACCATTAGGTCCACCAAACCTAGCTCCTGGAGCAAATTGTGAAACTCCTGAAACCCTCCGGAGGTTCTGGTGGACCCGAGTACAGCGACGATGTCCCCTACGGAGCTGCTTCTGCTCTCCAGAGCATATACGAGCGGTGACTCTCTCGAATAATGCTAATGCTAATGCTCGATAAACATCTAAAAAGATGGCCGCCAACGGGTTTCGAAACTTTCGCCTCCGGATTTCGCCTCTGACGCGCGTAAATTTCGCTTCAAACTTTTGTTTTTACGCGCGTCAATTTCGCCATTGACACGCGAATTAACACAAAGTGGTCAAGCGTCAAACTAGACGCGGTAGACGCGAATTTGACGCGCTATTCGCGTCCGGTGTGAACGCACAGTAATGCGGTCTGTGTCCTTAATATTGATCAAGCAACAAAAGAAAAAGAGAAAATCATTCACTGCTCGTTAATAGCTTTAATAAGGATTCATTATATTTAATTCATACAAATAAATATGTCTGCTGCTTGAAAAAATAAAGAATGATGTATGCAAGTTAAAAAGAATGCATATATCATTAATTGGAAAGAAGACTGTTCTATTCTAGGAAAAGTGGTTTTATTTAATTTTAAGATATTTTTTTAAGTCACAGTAGTTAAATCTGTATCTGTATTGCATGTTCAAACTTTAAAATCATTCATATTAACAGGTTAATGTTTTCTCCGGCACAAAGACCTCAGTCAGTACAAAGACTGAGACGGAGACACAGATTTTTTCCCCAAATTCTGTGTTCTAGAGAAGTCATATTACACTTTTTAAAGCTCTTTCTCTTAATAACACATTTCCAGATGATCAGCTATGACACATTACCACTTTGAGAAGTAGTCACCAGTATTTATTTGTTATTGTTTAATCCAACCATGTAAAAGAAAAAAAAAGAAAAGAAAAAAAGATTTGTTCTGCATGAATACAAAAAAGCATTTAACTCCTTTTATTTTTTATTTAATCTGTTTTTTTTTTACCTATTTACAGATAACTACTTTGAATGGAGCTAACTAAATATTATAATATATATCATAAACACTTTAATGGTGTTTTTATTATGTGACTAACAACTATAGATGATAATAAAGTACAGAAACAACACTTTTATTTTGGGACGGTTGACATTCACTTTAGGACGGTTCAAATTGTTTATCAGGACGCTTTCAGGACGGAGGTGAAAAAAGTTAGTCTGGAGCCCTGCACTGGATAGGTTTTTTCGTTTATTGAAATGTGGTTTATGTCAGCTGGATGGCCGGAACGTGGGAGACGTGCGAGTGCGCGCGCGCGGCCGGTGCTCTCTCTCTCTGCGTCAAGCGCAGCAGTCATTCTATTCTACATCACTCACCGATCAAAAGGGTGGCGTCGGGCCGCGGGCCGGGTTCGGGCAGATAATTCATGTTGATGTGTCGAGTTACATCGGGTCCGGGCTTTAAAAGCCACGGGCCGGGTCGGGTTGTAATTTTCAGGCCCGTTGAGAACTCTAGTACTAATTCTATTTTCGAATACTATTTAGGACGGATAGTATGCGAACTGGGACGCAGCATTTGTTCTTTTCTGACACGTAAATTAAATAAAGGGTTTTAATAAAAATTTGTCCATGTTTTTATTATTGTGTAAATTGTCACACTCACAGCTCTGCTGCATGTCACAATGCCCTTTATCCATGAATGGAATTTACAATGTAGAAAGATGTTACTTAAATGCTAGTATTTGTCTTTTTTTGTCTTTTTTTTTTTAACTTCATTCTTTCTTTCTTTTTTACTTCACACTACTGCATAGGTGCGAATGTCAATGCAAAGGACCATGTGTGGCTAACACCATTGCACAGAGCAGCTGCTTCCAGAAATGAGGTAAGCAGCACGTGTGATTTAGGCTATGTTCAGACTGCCTGCAAAAATCTGGTTTTATCCAGATGGGTTTTTGAAAATCTGTACAGCAAAAAAACACCACATGAAATCACATTTGGAGGTGGTTTCCACCAATTCCAATCAGATTTTTACAGATGCATCTCAGTCTGGACTTTAAATCAGATTTTAAATTGTCTTTTGCATCACTCCTAAGGTGACACACAATGACAAATTTAAAACCAGTGAAGGAAATGCTGGAAGTTTTCACATATTCATACATATACATGTAAACCAGTGTCCTCTGCTGAGTTCTGCACCATGACTCGACAGGGTGCTTATTTGGAGAGCGAGATGATGCACCTCCAATTTTTCCATCTGTTTTGAAAGCCTTGTCACATACGTGGGTAATACTTACATCATTACCAAAGCAACCCATCCAGATAGGTTGGTTATGTCTGGATACACAAATCTATTTGATCACTTGCAATTAATAGTGTGGACAGTCTGCCTGAAACGACCTGATTTAAGAAACAATCTGATTTGCCTGCAGTCTGTACTAGGTATGTCACGATACCAAAAATCCAGTAGTCTGTACCAATACCATTAAAATTTTGCGATTCTCTGTAACAATGTGTGTACCACAGCAAAATCTGTTGGAACTATTTTTCTATTTTATTAAATTCAATAAGTTTATAATTTGATGGTAATCATAAGTAAATAATACATATAAACATTGAAGGCTACATGCTGTTTAAAAGTAAACCATTGTTTATAAAAAGATCAAGTGAAAAATAAGCAACCTTCTTTGCACACATTATTGTTATTAGTAGTAGTAGTTTTATTACTACTTTGAGACGAAGCTAAAACGTAGCCTAATATAATTATTTCTTTATTTTGACAGTTTGCTGTGAAGACTAAATCGGTGTATGATATGGCGATAGTTTTTCTCAAATGAAACGGTAAAATGCTCATGAAGTGACTCAGCGGCCGTGAAGATGAAGTTCATGCATTCATGTCCTCATATCGTGAGGCACCTGAGACTGAAGACCCTGCGAGCGTCACGTGTGCTTCAGAGTGTGTGTGTGCTAAATGAAACCACACATCTGTGCCATTCGTTCACACAGACAAGCAGAACATGCATGATTAATATTTACAAAGTCTTTTTGCGGTTTAATATTTACAGACACTAGTATATATTGTGGTATATATCGTCTACGGTGATCCTAGTAAAAACGTTCGACAAGTCATCTAATTATATAGCGCTTTTAACAATACAATATTTTTTCAAAGCAGCTTTACAGTGATAACAGGAAAATAATGCAACAAAGTTTGTTTCGGCTGTACACCAGATCTGGAACCCTGCGCTTAAATAAACACAGAAGCAACAGAAAGCAGTTGCCTATTAGTGGGTACCGAATATACTCGGTACTACAGAAATGCTGGTATCGTCACATTTTCTAAATTTCAGTACCGACTTGTGTACTGAAGTACCGGTACTTTTGACAACCCTAGTCTGAACATAGCCTTATATGCCTGAGTGGAGGCTTAGTCTGAGTAACCGCTTACTCATGCCATTGTTTAGCATTTGAGCAATTTAATATAATTCATGCATTGTTTTGTTTTTTTGTTTTTTTACCCAGAGGGCTGTGGGGGTGCTGCTGAGGAAGGGAGCTGACGTGACCGTGCGGGATAAGTTCTGGCAGACACCACTGCACATTGCGGCAGCCAACCGAGCCACGCGTTGTGTCGAGGCCCTGCTTCCCCATGTGACCAGCATGAATATGGCCGATCGTACGGGCAGATCGCCCCTGCATCATGCTGCTCAGAGTGGTTTCCAGGAGGTAGGGTGGAATTAGTCATCTAATGCACTGAATTAAAAGACAGGGTGGGCCATCAGCCCTCAACATCTTTATTACAGCACTCCACAAGGCTGTGAAAGTGCAAATTGCTATTAGAGCAAATACAGATAATTCAGTTTTGACGTGTCTCTTTGTAGTTGTTTTAGGTAACCTTTGCTGCATTTAGTCTGTGGTCCTCATTTGGAAATGTTTATATAGTTGTCACAATACCAAATTTCACTAGTAGTTGCCAGTAAATATTTTACAATTTAGGCCTGTCACGATTAGCAATCTCCTGATTGCGATTATTCAAGATGATGGCAAATTTTGTGCAGTCACAATAATTGAAATATATTATATATTTTTGCTGCCTAACATGCTTAACTGAATGCATGACGTTAACTAACCACATCTTATAGCTGTATATTACTGCCATATGGACATTAATTTAACACCCTTATCTCTGGCTGATAACAGAATACTTCCTGAACATTTAAACAAGCATTTTCTGTAAAACTGCTTTGAAACAATATGTATTGTGAAAAGTGCCATACAGATCGTCAGTATAATATTGCTTTTAGAGCTTTTGGTACATTTAGTACTCAATACTGCAAAAACTGGTATCATTACAATCATTTTTTTTTTTATAGAAATCAACATGGTACTGAAGTACTAGTACTCTTTACTTCCCTAGTGCCAGTTTGGTTTTGAATCTAGGCCTGTATTATGTTAAAATTGTTACTGATTTTTTTAAAATTAATTTCTAATGGGTCCCTCTAATGCCCAGATGGTTTTGATTAAGCCAATACAATGTTACTTTGTGCTTTTGCTGCCAACTAGATGGTTAAATTGCTGCTGAACAAGGGAGCCAATCTGAGTGCCAGTGACAAGAAGGACAGGCAACCCATTCATTGGGCAGCTTACCTTGGTAAGTCCATATTTGGGTCTCCTTGAAGTGTTTTACTTGTTTTCTGTAGCTAAATCGTAATTTTCCTTGTGTTAGATTGTGTTTCATCATATTTTGCTAGTGGTGATTCCTGTTAGTTCTAGTAAAAACTAACCTGTTTGTTTCTCTCAGGTCATCTGGAGGTGGTTAAGCTGCTGGTGTCTCAGGGCTCAGATAAGAGCTGTAAGGATAAGCGGGGATACACCCCTCTCCACGCTGCTGCTGCCAGTGGCCACGTCGATGTGGTCAAGTACCTGTTACGCAATGGAGCCGAGGTCAGCACTCACAATTGTTACTTTGTTTCTCAGAATTGCAAGTTTATATCTCGCATTCTGACCTTATATCTTGTGATTGTGATTTTATATCTCACAATTCTGAGAAATAAAGTCAGAATTGTGAGATAAAAAGTCGCAATTACCTTTTGTGTTTTTTATTTATTCTGTGGCTGAAACAAGCTACCATGAATATCATAAATAATTTGGCAGGTAACCAAATGACTTTTCAATTAAAAAAAAAAGGATCAGTACGAATTAGTTATGTCCAGTGTTGGGGAAAGTTACTTTTAAAAGTAATGCATTACAATATTGTTACTTACTGCGTGACTAATTGCCTTACATTTATGGAAAGTAACCTGTTGCAATGCTTTTGTTACTTTTTGCCGGCTGGGCTTGCTTTGTTTGTTTGTTGTTGTTAACAAAAAAACAAGGGTTATATTCTTGGCACATGTAAATGCCCTTTCACACAAGTCTTTCTGGATTGCAGAAGAAAGTCGTTTTTGCTTATTATTTTGGTTGAATTGGATCATTGGAGGGCAGCAGCAAAGACATTGGTTAATAAAGTGAGATTAAATACATAAAGTAAGTTTGTATTTAACATATTATTGCAGGTTTGCTTGTAACTCCCTTTACTTGTAATGTTTTACCCGAGCACTGGTTAATACAGTCACAACCCATGATTTTCTATTTGCTAGGTGGTTGCAAAAATCTGTTTAGTGCAGGATGAGTCATTAATATTTTTTTGTCTATGTTCCCGGAAGAGATAGATGGTTGATCCATGGTTTACAGAATATTTTATGCAATGGTGTCTGTTTCTCAGATTGATGAGCCTAATGCCTTTGGAAACACTGCTCTCCATGTGGCCTGCTACACGGGACAGGAGGCCGTAGCCAATGAGCTGGTGAACCGTGGGGCAAACGTCAACCAGCCCAACCACCGTGGCTACACGCCCCTTCACCTGGCTGCCGTGTCCACTAATGGGGCTCTTTGCCTGGAACTGCTGGTCAACAACGGTGCTGATGTCAACATGCAGGTCTGGATAGGGAATGGGATTAGTTTATCAAGACCACCCTGTTATTGGATGATCTAAATTGACTTTTTTTTAACACTTTCACAGGGTTTTTAAGCAAGACGGTGTGTTTTTTTTAAGTCAGATATCTATTTTTTTTTCTCTGCAGAGTAAAGAAGGGAAAAGCCCTTTGCACATGGCGGCCATTCATGGACGTTTCACTCGCTCTCAGATCCTCATTCAGAATGGTAAGTTGTCTTTCCTTCTTTCCTTTTCCACTTGATTTCGAATTCCTTTTGTAATATTTAAACCCCGTAATTCCTCTTGTTTTCTCCTCAGGTGGGGAAATAGATTGTGTGGACAGATATGGCAATACACCTCTTCATGTTGCTGCTAAGTACGGCCACGAGCTGCTTATCAGCACCTTGATGACAAACGGTGCTGACACAGCCAGGTAAAGAATCATGCGTTTGTTGAATGAGACTGTTTGTTTGGGTCTTTTTTGTAGTGATTGGGGTAAGATCGTCTCCTAAATGTTGACAACTGCATAATGTCTCTATCATATACAACCTTAAGCAAATTATCTGGCTAAAGATTTATGCAAAATGGTATATGAGAGGCTAAAGCAGTGTTATTTTAGTAAAATGTATATACTATTATAGTATTCTATTAATGTTTTAAATTAGCTTTAATTTTTAGATTTTCCATTTATTTTAATTTTTAATAAAGGTTTAGTATTTTTTTGTGCTTTTCATTTTCATTTTTTTTTCTAAATAGTAATATAAATAGTATTAGTGTTACAAATCACCACAAAATGTTGAAAATTGTACCACTACATTTAGATATTCGTATTGCACTTTTCTCTTGCTTATGAAAATGTGAATATTATGCAGCAAAATATATGCATTTTATAGATGCTTTATGGTTTTATATGCATCTCATTTCTCCTTGTCTTTCTAACAATTGAGTTAAAAGTGGCATAGCTTAACCCACTCTATATACACACAAGAGACAAGGAATTTGCATTTACAGAGAAACTTGATTCTAATCTCTTGTTAGTTTGCATTGTAATCTGCTTCTGTGGCATGTGTAGTGAAATACTTTGCTTGTTTGTCCTCTTTCTACAGACAAGGGATTCATGGGATGTTTCCTCTACACTTAGCTGTGCTCTACGGGTCCTCTGACTGTTGTCGTAAGCTACTTTCCTCAGGTATGCACACTTACTCCCTACAAATTACAGTAAAGGCCAATGGAAAAAAATGTTGTCCCTTAGTCTGTATTATATATGTCCTTGTACCTTACACAAATGCACCGATTGTAACAAAATGTTTCTAAATGATTGTCATGTTATGTACAAATGGATTTACACAGTGAATCAAGTAATACCATGGCACTTTTGTGTGTGTTTTGTGATCTATTCACAAAAGAGTCTATTTCACAAGACTGATGCACATCCAGCTAAAATGAAAGTGTATTCCCCTAACTATCATTGCAGTGACTGTGTGTGTGTGTCTCTTTTGCAGGTCAGCTCTACAGCATTGTGTTGTCAATGAGTAAAGAACACGTGCTCTCAGCCGGATTTGACATCAACACCCCAGACAATTTTGGGAGGACCTGTCTACACGCTGCTGCCTCTGGAGGGTGAGACTGCAGCTCTACTTAGAATGGGCTATTTAAAAAGCCACTGGCCCACTTTTTCAGGTTTCAGGTGTCCTTATTAACAGTGTTTTATGCACACAAATGCCAACCAAGGTCATTTGGCAGATGTCACTCAACAGCCACTATCTAAAAGTAATTGAAAAAGATGTGTAAAAGATTTATTTATGCCTATCCTTTATTTTCTTTACTCAGAAATATTGAATGTCTCAACCTGCTCTTAAGCAGTGGAGCTGACATGAACAAGAAGGACAAGTTTGGAAGGTACACATCATCTTTCTTTAAAATGGGATGCTTATAATTTGTCATGAACATATCTGAAAGTGGGCCTCATGAAAAGAATCCTCATCCCAACTTATTTGCCCAGTATAATTTCTTATTTAAACTTTGGATTTTGGCTTGAAATATGATGTGGATATCTTTTTATGAGATTCACCTGTATGTTAAGTGTTAGAATTTCTGTGTCTCTCCATCAGGACTCCTTTGCACTATGCGGCTGCTAACGGGAGGTATCAGTGTGTGGTCGTTCTGGTTGGAGCAGGGGCGGAGGTCAACGAGCGCGACCGCTCTGGCTGTACACCTCTACACTACTCGGCTGCATCGACTGCGTTCTGCAGGTGAGATGCGTTTACACACATCTATTAAATATAATAGTTCACGGTGTGCACAGCAGTTCTAATGTCTGGTGTTTTTCTCAGAACGGATCGACCCCATGCCAGCACCCATCAGAACCAAGAGGATGGGGAGAAGGAATCCTTCCTGTAAGTCCACAAATATTTCTTCCCTAAATTTGACACCCACAAAAATGTTTTTATTATTATTGTTTTGTGCCTCATCTTTGAAGCTATTACCTGGTTTGGATTTTCACTTTATTTAAAATTAGATTATCTATGATTAAACTGTTAAGATATATGTGTGCATTGTGACACACATACCCTTTGAACACTGTTTAGTGCATTTAAGCTATATTGTGTTCCTGGATGCTGGCAAATAGGTGTGCTAGGTGATCAGAAGAATAGTTCAGGGAAAAATATTGTAGAGAATATTAAATAAAGTAAAAATCTACTGAATTTGACAATACATTTGTATACGCTACCATTCAAACGTTTGGGGTCAATAATACGTCACAGTCATATCACCCTGTAGCCCAAGACTGGTTGCTCACTAAAGCTAAGCAGGGTTGAACCTGGTCAGTACCTGGATGGGAAACCTTCTGGGAAAACAAGGTTGCTGCTGGAAGATGTGTTAGTGAGGCCAGCAGGCTGTGCTCACCCTGTGATCTGAGTGGTTCCTAATGCCCCAGTATAGTGGCGGGGACACTATACTGTAACAAGCACTGTCCTTCGGATGAAACGTTAAACCGAGTTCCTGACTCTCTGTGCTGTGGTCATTTAAAAATCCCATGGCACTTCTCGTAAAGTGTAGGGGTGTAACCCCGGTGTCCTGGCCAAATTCCCTCCATTGGCTTTTATCAATCATGGCCTGTTAATCCCGATCCATTAAATTAGCTCTTACACTCTCTCTCCTCTCTACCTATAGCTGGTGTGTAGCAGAGACTATTTATATAGAGACATGCCACTTCATCAATCCTTAATACAATATATAGGGAAAACCCGTAACGCCAAAGATGGCGGTTGTTAAGCACATGTCCCGCCCCTCCTGCTTTTAACAGTCAAGCCGGGAAACATTTAAGCCGATCATCTGGTTCCACTGACGCATGCGCACGGTTGAGGTTGAGGTTGACAGCGCAAAATACATTACTGTTTGAAAAGGCGGCAGATTTGATATGCAGTGTATGTGTGAGTTGTGTAATATCAGACATCAGAAGTCTCCCTATACATGCAGTTTTTATGTCCCGGTGACCAGTGAAACTGCAGTTCTGACTCTCTGCCCATTCATTTAGATAGGAGCCTGGTCTTGTTAGTCCGAAATAGCTGCCCGGAGGCGTTGCCAAGATGGCGGCCGAGTGGCATGACTTGCCTAAAAGGACTTTGTGTGTGGTGAGCGCAATGGCACCATTGTACTGTGACTGCCGTCGCATCATCCAAGTGGATGCTGCACACTAGTGGTGGTTGAGGAGAGACCCTTGATATAATTGTAAAGCGCTTTGGGTGTACGGTATTACATGTTAAAGCGCTGTATAGGGCTGGGACGGTTACCGCAATACCGCGGTCATGTGACTCCAACCGCGGGTCTGAGCTCGTCACCGTCATCACTGCAAAAAAAAAAAAAAAAAAAATGACATGTGTGCACGTTGTGTCTATGATATGGATTCATTGATTCTAATGACATGGATTATTTCTAATGATAGTGTGTCTTACATGGATTCAAGGTTTTCTAAACAAAACTTATCAAAAGATGGAGCAAATCCCTTTCGTGAGTTGGGGAGCGCAATGTTCCATGACACATAGCATTACATTCGTATTAGAGATGCGCGGATGGGCTATTATTATTTCATCCGCAACGGAACCGCAGCACAAAACGCATCATCTGTCCGCCATCCATCCGCACCAACGTTTTTTGATCAATTTTCGTTTTTTGAAATTTATCAGTTTTAAGGTCTATGACCGATGCAAGGCGCTGCTGCCGCGAGGCTAGAAAGCTCTTGGCTGTTCTAGAAAGGAGACTGCGCATGCAGCAAAGATATCTAAAGGCTAAAGTCCCTAGTATAGCCTATTGGCTATGTTGTATCCTCAGAATATCAGCAGTGAACTCCGTCTCCGATGGGCGCACAAGTTTCGGTTCATTTATGAGACGAGCTCCAGTTCACGCGCAAGAGATCGCACCGTCGCTTCCACATCGTCCTGATTATATGTCTGCTATATTTGTATAATTCCAGGCAATTAGTTAATGAAACAGTGATTAAAATTAAGATACAATTTATACAAAACGAAATTTAATTTAAAGAAAGGCTTTCTACAAAACAAAACTTAATAAAGTGGTCAAAATCATGTCTGACCCATCTTATGATCCTATCTTACTCATGGTGTTCACTTTTCATATAATCGACATAGATTAAATAAAAAATAACATTATATTATGTTAACATAAATATGGAATATCATTTTTGTAATTAAGACATGTTGGAAAAGCTGTTCATCTTTCATTTCGTTCAACATCATAATGTATTCTCCTGAAAATGATGAATTCAATGCGAATGTATCTGAGAATATTCTTAAATTAGGAAATCTATTCAGTGATTGGTTCATGCCAAATTACAGCTTAATGAAAATCGGACTCTAGAAAAAATCCATACCGCCCCAGCCCTAGCGCTGTATTAATGCTTCGTTCAATAATGTGTGTATACATGCATGCACACAGGGCTTGACATTAACACCTGCCAAACGCGGGTGAATTTCAGCTGTGGCGTGTAACGCTGTCACTCCTACTAGCCACTTTGGTGGGTTGAATTTTATATAATTTACATTTTTCAATTGTAGTCTTTTAAAAAGGCATCTTACCGTAAAACTTCAAATAGTAGCCCGGGCTTTTATTTTCCCAAATCGTCGAACTGCACCGGCTTGTATTTGAGACAGGCGTCTATATGAGACAGGCCTTTATAATTTAGTGTTGAGATGTTGTTCATTGAGTGTATAGGCCTGTCTCTAATCTCTAAAAATCTCCAAATGCTCCACGTGAAACTGCGGTCTTCCGACCTTTTACTATCGTGTCAATTGATTTTGATTAATATGTGCGAGGGAGAGAGAGCAAGACAGCGCTCGTGTTGTTTGAAGACGTGAGAGTGCGCGCGCGCGGCCGGGGCGCTCTCTCTCTCTCTCTCTCTCTCTGCTCGTAACGCGCCCTGTCAGGCGCAGCAGTCATTCTATTCTACATCACTCACCGATCAAAAAAGGCTTTGGAGGGACAACAATTTGCTTTGGCGGCCGGCAAATAGCGGACGATCTGACGGTTTTAGAGGATTAAATACAACCCGAAACTAAAAAACAGACCCGGCCTCTATTTGAGACCGGCCTTTATTTACCCAAACCTGCAGCCACACCAGGCGTGTAAAAGAGACAGGCGTCTATTTGGGACTCGGCTATTATTTGAAGTTTTACGGTAAATAATAAACTAAGTGCAATGTAGTGTTGTCAAAAATATAGATTTTTCGATACATATCGATACTGATATATCCGAAACTCTTCTGCAGGATACCTAAATACCAGCTGCGCGTTCTCGCTCTAACCTCTTTGACAGGTAGTTGACTCACAAACCCGCGTTCCCTCCCTCACTCGCTTCGTTTGGTCCGGATGAATATTGTTTGGTCGTTACAGGGCTTGAGTTTCAGCGTGGGATTGGGCGTATTGCTCATAATTTTACTCATCCCTGCAAATTTTGTGCTCGCGCACATAAAGCCAAGTATATTGGCTATATAAAACAGTATAATGGGTCTATGCGTCAGGTCTTGTAGTGACAGCAGCCTAATATTCTGGCTGCCAAATTATATTTAATATATTTAATAGATAATATTTAAAAAAATCTATATGGCAGTTTTCGATGTCAAAATTTTGGCCAGTAAAAAAGCTGATTGGCTAGTAACTTTGGAAAACCAGTAGCCACAGTGACTGGTGAGCAAAAAAGTTTGTCAAGCCCCGTGTGTATGTATGTGTTTGTATACCGGTGTGTGTGTGTGTTAGAGTTCTCAACGGGCCTGAAAATTACAACCCGACCCGACCCTGCCCGTGGCTTTTAAAGCCCGGACCAGATGTAACCCGACACATCAACATGAATTATCTGCCCGAACCCGACCCGCGGCCCGACGCCACCCTTTTGATCGGTGAGTGAGGTATGTAGAATGACTGCTGCGCTTGACGCAGAGAGAGAGAGAGCCCCGGCCGTGCACGCGCGCACTCGCACGTCTCCCACGTTCCGCCCATCCAGCTGACATAAACCACATTTCAATAAACGAAAAAAACTATCCAGTGATTAAATGTTTTCTGTATTGACGCAAATCTTGTGCGATGTGCTAAACTGCCGAGATAATCACACAACGTGTCGCGCCGCCCCTGAGCAACGGTGATTTCACCTGCAGCAAGTTTACTCTTCACCAACTCCATCTTATTCTCCGGGCTAAAGGCGTGCACACAGCGGCGTCAGGTCTGCCCTCGCGTCGCGATGCACGTTGCACGCAGCAGCCAGACTTTCTTTACAGTGAACAGCAGCGATGAATAATAAATGTTTTTTTTTCTTTAACTGTACAATTCAAAAGATTAAGCCCGAGGTCCGACCCGAGTCATTTGCAAATATTTTCGACCCGAACCCGCGGGTTTGTCGGGCCGACCCGACCCGTTGAGAACTCTAGTGTGTGTGTGTATATATATATATATATATATATATATATATATTACAAATGTCTGTAATATTTCAAATAAGTTCTGTTCTTTTGAACTTTGTATTCAAAGATTCCTGTAAAAAGTTTTGTGGTTTCCTCACATATTAAGCAGCACAACTGTTTTTCCAAATCAGCATATTAAAATAATTTCTGTAGTGACACTGAAGACTGGAGTAACGATGCTGAAAATTCAGCTTTGCCATCACAAAAATAAATTGCATTTTAAAATATATTAAAATAGAAAAGTTTTTTTAAATTGCAAAAGTATTTCACAAACTTTAATCCAATAAATTAAGCCTTGGTGAGCATAAGAGACGACTTTAAAATACATTTAAAAATTAAAAACGCCAAACTTTTGAACTGTATTGTGTAAGTATGAGAAGTTGTTTTGAGTTATTACTGCTTATTTCAGTCTTTAAATCCCATACATTTTGATACTTTTAGGTGTGTGGAGCATTTGTTGGATAATGGTGCTGATCCATCTCTGTGCAACACTAAAGGATACAGTGCTGTGCATTATGCTTCGGCCCACGGCAACAAACAAAACCTGGAGCTGGTGAGATTGACCTTTCACTCTAGCATCATCCACTGTGATTGTTTTTTATTAATTTTTTTTATCAAAGTTTAACACTTGATATATGCTATCACTTTTTGTTCGTTATTCTGTAGCTTTTGGAGATGTGCTTCAACACACTTGGAGACAATGAGAGCAATGGGTCCGTCAGCCCACTACACTTGGCGGTACGTACGAAACAACAGCTTCTATTTATTCAGGACATATAAATCAGCAGATATTCTGTAATTCTGCAGAACTCTGCCCCCTGTTGGTGCAATGTATATATTGATTTTTCCTATCAGGTGGAGTCAGGTCACTGGGAATGTGTCACAGTGTTAATTGAGTCTGGAGTGTGTGTGGATGCATGTGACCCGGTGGGGCGCTCTGTGCTGTACGTGGCCTCTCAAAGAGGGCATGCCCGCTGCGTAGAGCTCCTGCTTGGCCAATCAGCATCTTGCCTGCTCACGGAAAACTGCAGCAAATGGGGTCCTCTTCATGTTGCAGGTACAGTATGTATGTATGTATGTGTGAATTGGTATGTGAAACTTATCATTGTGTGGGAGTTTGACACATCCCTGTGTTTGTTTGTTGACAGCTGCCAACGGCCACTCAGAATGTCTGCGGATGCTGCTCTGTAGTGAGGGAGGAGCTGATCTTGTTAATGTTACAGACGTGGAGGGACAGTACGTATGAGCTCATTATTTCTTATTTTTAATCGCAGCATTCAGTATTAATATACAGGAAAACAGATGACAAGTAATGCATCTTGCATAATGCAATTAATAATGGCCCAAATATGCAACAATTTGGAAAGAGCTCATTAAAATATAGATTTTTTTTTATACTATTGAGTTTGTATTATAATATTGATATTATTGTATTTATATATTTTTAATTATATTGTTTTATATTAATATAGCTAAAAGTAATATTAAAATTAATTTGTTATTATTAAAAATATATGTATTATAACTTCTTGAACTTCAAGATCTTTGTGAAATGAAGGCTTGGGCCTGTTTTGAACCACATTGCAATTAAATATTGATTATTATTGCATAATATTCTACTAATATTCCAAATAATTAACAATAAATATGATCTTTTACTATACTAAAATAATCAAGTTGCATGGTTTCAAAAACTACAAATCAAAAAGATTTATTTAAGCATTTGTAAGATTTTAGTTCTATTCATGTCGCACCCTGTGCAATGTTTATTTACTGAAATCATACCATATATTTCAGAGATGTAAACAAAAAAAGACAAATTATTAATTCCAGTTGATTGTATGTAATTTGTATATTTTTTTATATTTTTTATATATATATATATATATATAGAGAGAGAGAGAGAGAGAGAGAGAGAGAGAGATCCTCATTTACAAATTGTAAATAAAATCTTAAAGGTTCCCAAACAATGCTGAAAAAGGATCAAAACTGTATTACATCTTATTTGCATTTTCAGCTTCGAGTTGTTGATCTCACTGTTTCCCTGTCTTCATAGAACTCCACTAATGCTGGCAGTGCTGGGGGGACACACTGACTGCGTGCATCTGCTGCTGGAGAGAGGAGCTTGCCCTGATATGAGAGACAGGAGAGGAAGAACAGCCTTACACAGAGGGGTGAGATCCTGAAAACATTACTAAAGTTTGCAATGCATCGTAGTCCTCATAATGTGATGGGTTTCTAACCAGGACTGTTTTTGTAGGCGGTGATGGGTCGGGAGGACTGTATAACCGCCCTGCTGTCACACAATGTCTCAGTCCTCAGCAGAGATTTTCAGGGGCGAACCGCGGTGCATCTGGCTGCCTCTTGCGGCCATGCTGACATTCTCTCCAATCTTCTTTCTGCTGCTGACCACTCCCATCCCCACGACCCAATCACAGACCGCCACGGCTACACACCCGCACACTGGGCAGCCTATCACGGTAAGAGATCAGACCTTATGAGCCCCTTAACATTACTAAAACTATATTTGGTTAATTAAGTGACATGCGTTATTTGTGAAGCAGGTCATGAAGACTGTTTGGACGTTTTACTTGAACTTAAACCATGTAGTATCCAGGAGGGAAACCCCTTCACCCCACTGCACTGTGCTCTGTGAGTATTGAAGTATTTCTCCTTTTAGTTTCAAAGGTGGTGTACTTATTTTCAATGTTGTAATAATTAGGGATGTCCCGATCCGATCACGTGGTTTCAGACTCGATCGGAATCGGACGTTACCTCCCGATCAGGACTCGGATATATGTAAATTAGGGGTGTAACGGTACATGTATTCGTAATTATTGAACCGTTTCGGTACGAGGCTTCCGGTTCGGTACGCATACAAACCGAACGATTCCTAGGACCATTTTTCCTGCAGACAAAATCCGCACTGGCGCGACCACCACAACGTTGCGCAACATCAAACGGCAAACGTAATGAAAGCGGAACGAAACTGCGCTCCTCATTATATTGTGCTTAACGGACCGTTTATCAGTTCGGACCAGCAACATCTGTGCAGCGCGAGATCAAGCGACACTGTGCTAAGAGATCCAGTGAAGAAAACATTTGAATTCGCCACTGAAGTAATAACATCGCTGCGAGATCTAGTGAGAAGCATTCAAATTTCTCCGTTATTAACCGTAGATCTCTATTAGATCAAACAGCGCTGACGTGGAAACCAGGAGAAACATTGTGCCGTGAATGAACATGGATTTAATGTTGCACTTCAAAACAAAAATATTATATAAATATATATTTAAATGTTATTTTTAATGTGATTACCAAAACATTTTTTGTTCATCCTTCAAAGATTACCCCCATTTATAAACCTGAAAGTTTCAAGATGTAGGAAAACTCAAACTTATTTAAAAATAGTTTTTCTTTTAATAAATAGGAAATTTCTCTGGCATTTCTTTCTTTTTGCTGTATCGTATCGAACCGAACCGCAGATTTTGTGAACTGTTACACCCCTAATGTATATATATATTCTCATTATTTTTTTATACACTTTTAAAACATTTTTATTTTTTGTTTACATGCCTGCCGGGTATTTTAAGTAGTGTTGTCAAAAATATCGATATTTCGATAAATATCGATACTGAAATATCTGAACGGTACCAATACTAATTTCCCGAAGTATCGATACTAGCCGAGCAGTCACTTTCACTTCTCTCAAAAGGCGCGTTGACAAACACCACACGTGACGCACTCGTCTCATTCGCTCTGGTTAAATAGCAAAAGTGAAGTGAATGGAAAGATGGCGAGGGCGGCGCCCCCGCGACCGGCTTTGGTTGATTGATAAAGAACACCGCGAGCGGGCATGTCGGAGAATAGCGCGGACACGAGCTACACACCGCGAGCGGGCATGTCGGAGAATAGCGCGGACACGAGCTACACACCGCGAGCGGGCATGTCGGAGAATAGCGCGGACACGAGCTACACACCGCGAGCGGGCATGTCGGAGAATAGCGCGGACACGCGAGCGGGCTGCGGGCACCCAACATATTGTTTGACTATCAATAATCCCTCACATCACTCATTTTTTAAAATTATTGTATAGGTGAAAACAGACTTAAGGAACAGGCTCCAGGGGTAGGCTACTATTTAGCAGCATATGCTCATGCAGCATCAGGGGTGTTTGTTGTTTGGACAGACCTGCCCCCACTGCTAAAAAAAATCCTCAAGGAAACACTGTAACTCTTCTCATTTGAACTTTTCTGAAACATTAACCAAGATGGCCTAGTATTGTTGTTGATAAGAGTCTGTGTTGTCTCGTTTTAATTCTTAAAGTTAACATAATCTGACTGAGGAATCTTAGACAAGTAAATATTGTAACTGTGGTCAAATGTAAATTAACTGGTGCCTATTTAACTTTATTCAAAAATTATTATTTAATTCTGCAATTTTCCTTCATTAGCGATTATCATCAATTTGATTACACAGATATTAATTAAACTAAACAGCTAGACAATGGCATCTCTGAATTCAATAATGACATGCCTTTAACTGAAAATTGAATGTTTAATCTTATCATTACTGACTCTCTATCCTCCAATTTGATACTGTTAAGTGCTTTTTTGTTACAGTATATTTTAATCTTTGATAACAGTAGGTAAAAAAAATACATCATGTTAGCTCTGGTCCAATTACAAAATATAAACAAATAGAACTCAGGACTTTTTTGTTCATGTAAAATATACCTCATTGTCATGTTCTAGACTTGTTATATTTAGCTTTAATTTAAAAAAATACCCCCTTAATATTGTGGCAGTTTTTTCTCCGTGGTATGGAAAATGGTATCGAATATCGATATTTTTCAAGGTATCGTATCGAAGTTAGAAATTCTAGTATCGTGACAACACTAATTTTAAGTTGAGGTGCTATTTGTTTTTAAAATAGACTTTTTCTATATTTACTGTTGCACTAAAGTCCAAAAGTGAAGATTTTATGTTATTTATTACTAGATTGTTCAAGCTACCTCACAGAAGTGCTCTGTTTGTTAACAGAGTTGTTGAATGTTAAAATAAGGTGAATTAAATAAAAAATAAGGAACATCCTGGATCTGTTTTTTCTCTCTTCTTTATTCTTTTTTTATTATATAAGTATCGGATCGGGATTCGGTATCGGTAGATACTCAAAATCAAATGACTCGGACTCGAGGGCAAAAAAACCCTGATCGGGACATCCCTATTAATAATTCCTGTAAAGACAGAAAAGGTGGAGGTTGGGGGGGGGGGGGGGGTTGATGAACTCAAAAAGTCAGGGAAATCTTTTTTTCTTTTTCTTTTTTTCAAAAAGTCATGTTATAAATAATTTTTTATTATTCACTCTAAAATATTCTTAATCCTTTAATTTTTGGCTTATTTTCTTATATTTGCAGTTTAGACTCATATTGCTTCAGATTTAACTTGGTCAGTAATAGTAATAGTGGTGTACATAATGCTTACAATTTTTTGGCCCAGTACTACCCCAATGTACACTACTATTCAAAATTCACACTACCGTTTCCAATAAATGCTGGGTTTTTTTTTACTTTCTATTCATTAAAGAATCCTGGAAATATGGTTTCCACAAAAATATCAAGCAGCACAACTGTTTTCAACATTCATAAAAACCTTTTCATGAGCAGCAAATAATTTAAGGCATGCCTTTTCTAATCGCCATGCTGCATGTTCTTGTCATCCCATTGCAGCATTAATGGCCATAGTGGTTCTGCAGAGCTGCTGTTGGAATCCAGTGTTTGTAATTTGCTGGTAAACATCAGGGATGCCAAAGGAAGGTTAGTGCAAGTACATATTTAAATACAGCTGCTGTGTAGTAGCTGTCAAATAGTTACAAATTGAAAACCATTTCATAAATTGTACTAGCAGCTAAATTACTATTCTGACATCTTGCTTCCAGGACCCCGCTTCACGCGGCCGCAGTTGCTGAGGACGTGGCTGGGCTGCAGCTGGTTCTGCGGCACGGAGCTGACATCAACGCCGTGGACCACTCAGGGCGTTCTGCACTGATGGTGGCCGCCGATAATGGCCAAAGCGGTGCCGTAGGTAAGAGTTTCACCATGTGTCATACGAGTAATCCCAGACTGAAACCCTCAGACATTGTAAAACATGACTCCTTAGTTTTAACAGATGTTTTCATTGTTGTATGCAGCCCTGCTGCTGCACAGAGCCAAAGCTGACCTGTCCCTCCTGGATGTGAACAAGAACACTGCCCTGCACCTGGCCTGCAGCAAGGTAACAAACATAGCTAGGGCCCTATGAAATTAATTCCGTTGCTGCAGGTTGAATTAAATTTTAGTAATCAAAAAGCATGTCACATGCATTGAAATCATGAAACTTATACAATTTAACAACTTAAGTTTAACAAAAAAAAAATACAGGTCCTTCTCAAAAAATTAGCATATTGTGATAAAGTTCATTATTTTCCATAATGTAATGATAAAAATTAAACTTTCATATATTTTAGATTCATTGCACACCAACTGAAATATTTCAGGTCTTTTATTGTTTTAATACTGATGATTTTGGCATACAGCTCATGAAAACCCAAAATTCCTGTCTCAAAAAATTAGCATATCATGAAAAGGGTCTCTAAACGAGCTATTGACCTAATCATCTGAATCAACTAATTAACTCTAAACACCTGCAAAAGATTCCTGAGGCTTTTAAAAACTCCCAGCCTGTTTCATTACTCAAAACCGCAATCATGAGTAAGACTGCCGACCTGACTGCTGTCCAGAAGGCCATCATTGACACCCTCAAGCAAGAGGGTAAGACACAGAAAGAAATTTCTGAACAAATAGGCTGTTCCCAGAGTGCTGTATCAAGGCACCTCAGTGGGAAGTCTGTGGGAAGTAAAAAGTGTGGCAAAAAACGCTGCACAACGAGAAGGTGACCGGACCCTGAGGAAGATTGTGGAGAAGGACCGATTCCAGACCTTGGGGGACCTGCGGAAGCAGTGGACTGAGTCTGGAGTAGAAACATCCAGAGCCACCGTGCACAGGCGTGTGCAGGAAATGGGCTACAGGTGCCGCATTCCCCAGGTCAAGCCACTTTTGAACCAGAAACAGCGGCAGAAGCGCCTGACCTGGGCTACAGAGAAGCAGCACTGGACTGTTGCTCAGTTTTGCATGTCATTCGGAAATCAAGGTGCCAGAGTCTGGAGGAAGACTGGGGAGAAGGAAATGCCAAAATGCCTGAAGTCCAGTGTCAAGTACCCACAGTCAGTGATGGTCTGGGGTGCCATGTCAGCTGCTGGTGTTGGTGCACTGTGTTTTATCAAGGGCAGGGTCAATGCAGCTAGCTATCAGGAGATTTTGGAGCACTTCATGCTTCCATCTGCTGAAAAGCTTTATGGAGATGAAGATTTCATTTTTCAGCACGACCTGGCACCTGCTCACAGTGCCAAAACCACTGGTAAATGGTTTACTGACCATGGTATTACTGTGCTCAATTGGCCTGCCAACTCTCCTGACCTGAACCCCATAGAGAATCTGTGGGATATTGTGAAGAGAAAGTTGAGAGACGCAAGACCCAACACTCTGGATGAGCTTAAGGCCGCTATCGAAGCATCCTGGGCCTCCATAACACCTCAGCAGTGCCACAGGCTGATTGCCTCCATGCCACGCCGCATTGAAGCAGTCATTTCTGCAAAAGGATTCCCGACCAAGTATTGAGTGCATAAGTGAACATAATTATTTGAAGGTTGACTTTTTTTTTTGTATTAAAAACACTTCTTTTATTGGTCGGATGAAATATGCTAATTTTTTTAGACAGGAATTTTGGGTTTTCATGAGCTGTATGCCAAAATCATCAGTATTGAAACAATAAAAGACCTGAAATATTTCAGTTGGTGTGCAATGAATCTAAAATATATGAAAGTTTAATTTTTATCATTACATTATGGCAAATAATGAACTTTATCACAATATGCTAATTTTTTGAGAAGGACCTGTATTTTAATTAAATTAATGAATTTAATGAATAAAAATTCTTTTTTTTTTTCTCACAAATTTAGTTTTACTTTGTTTGTTTTTTGTTTGTTTTTTTACAAATGGTTTGTTTAAATTAATAATCAAAATGCATGTCTAATTGAATTAATTTTAATAATTTATTGTTACAATAGTAGGCATCTATGAAATGTTTTATTTTATAGGGTTTTTTAGTTGTCTGTTTTAATGTAATTTTTGAAAATGTAATCAAATGAAATGATTTACTGTTAAAATTAAAAAATCGATATTCCTTAAATATAAAAACTTGTTTAGACTTGTCAAATGTGCGTATTGCTAACATTGTGAATATTACTGTGTTTGTGTTTAAAGGCTCATGAAATGTGTGCCATGCTGATCTTGAAGGAAATCCACAACCCTATCCTCATAAACGCAACCAACAGTATGCTTCAGATGTGAGTATCTTTGTCACAGTTTAAGTTGTGCATGGCTCTGTAGCAGTATCATTATCAGCTCGTTGTTTGAGCATCCTGACCAGCCTGAAGCAGCAAATGGGCTTAGTTTACCTTTGTGACAGTAATTATACACACCGCCTTGTCCCAATGTGATTTAAACTTTGCAAACCTTTCAGCATTGTAACTTAATTTGATCTATATTTCAGGCCCCTCCACATTGCCGCCAGGAATGGTTTGGCCACCGTGGTTCAGGCCTTGCTGAATCGTGGAGCCACAGTGCTGGCAGTGGATGAGGAAGGTAAGACAGTATAGAACAGGAAAATTCATTTTTTGTGATTTTTGGTAAAAAAAAATTGTTAGTTGCTCACAGCAGTAAATGACAACGTGGGTGGGACAAATGTTGAAGTTTGCATTCTAGTAAAAAACTTTACACATAGATTTTAGTTCTGAACATCTGTTGATTATCGCCCATTTAGGTTGGCCGGATTAAAGGGATAGTTGATCCAAAAATGAAAATTTTGTCATTATTTACTCACCCTCAAGTTGTTCCAAACCTGTATGAGTTTCTTTCTTCTAAACGTCTCTGTTTTTGTGATGTCACAGGTCATACGCCAGCCCTGGCTTGCGCATCCAATAAAGCTGTTGCTGACTGCCTAGCTCTCATTCTGTCAACCATGAAGCCTTCCTCCTCCACACCTTCCTCATCCTCACCCTCTTCTCCCAGCCTAAACCTGCTCAAGCACTGTGGCATCACCGCCGCCTGCCCCCCCCTGCCCAATGGAGGCCTTCACCATGGTTACGGCAAAGATCGCCATGGCGCTACCATCGGCTTGGATGGCTGCTTGACCGAGTGAGGCGTTCTTACTTGTTAAAAAATAAAAACCCGCGTGGTCGCTTGTTTTGGTCCTCTCTACACACCTAGATAAACCTATATGCAATTACAGCCACACATCCCTCCTGTGCCAGTATCAGAGCTTTTCTTCACGTCTCAGTAGAGAGCGAATACGAGAGGACAAATTTAGCTATTTATTTCTATTTATTTTCCCCCACTTTTCCCTTCCTCCCACCCCCTGACTCCCATCTTAGATGCTGTCCATTCAATATGAGTCTAATAAGTCTAAAATCTGAATCTAAGCCATCTATTCGAACCAGTATCCATCACTGGCGAGTCAGTCCTTTATTTCTTCATTGCAGTCGATTTGACTCGGTTTATGTTAGAATTATGCAGCTGTGTGTCTCCATGGTAACAGTGATAATGGATGGGTTTCCATATCATGCCTCCTATTTGCGTGATGCTGTGGCCTTGCATAGGAATTTACAGCCTGCCCTGAGGAACAATTTAAACGGGTTACACTAGATTTGCATGAATTTGCGGGACCATGTATTTGATAGTGGTCTTGTGTGTATGTTTGTGTGCGTGCGTGTTTGCGCTGTATGTGTGACATCCACTTTTGCGCAACAGTCCAAGTTTTTCATCCCATACTTGATTCTTACTTTTTGAGGTTTTTATGTGAGGTGCAATCTGATTTAGCACAGATCAGGAAAAAACAAACAACCTAACAGAATCATTTTGACAGAAGGGAAACCATACTACCTTAAGCCAAAAGACCAATGACCTCCTGGTAGAGGGGTCTGATATAATATAATGCTTGTTTACTGTTAGAGAGAAAAGGGATAGTGTTTGGATGGGTAAATTCATATTAGGTTTACAATAAAGGTAATAGGTAGTCCAGATCACTGTTTGCAGGTGGGCAGAAGAAAGAGGAGTTTAAAGTGTCATAATTTGGGGCGTTTAAAACATTATGAAGATACCTACACTAAGGAAGTATAGAAAGCACAAATGTCATTACAGATGCAAACGTCATACACAGTACTTGCTCCTTGGGACCTTCGGTTTTATTTATTTTGGGTTGGCAGGGCCTCGTAAAGTATCTTCAATAAATCTACTGCTTTATTCGTTTATTGTTATAATATTAAGTGTGGAGTTGCTTTCACAGTGCCTACTGAATTAATTTTTGTCTGTTTAGTGTCCAATTAGTTAAACACACCAGATATGCACTCCCCAAAGTTGTTGAGATGGTATGAGATGAGTATTTCACTATAATCCATTATGAAATGATTATCTAAATAGATGGATGTTTGATTCCCTATATTGATGGATGATTGATTCATGATTCACACCCACTTGGGGGAGGGTATATGTCAAAAAATGAAGTGTTGAGGCTGATTGGACATTTTTTTTTTAACATTTGTTTATGGTGTTGGGGAGCAGTCATGGGTATGACCAAAGTTGCGTGATTTCTAAATAGCATTTTATTAGGCACTTGCAGATATCCCAAAAAAAAAAGCATTATCTTTTCAATTATAAACCTTGTTTTCTTTTCAATAATATTCACCCCTGCTCTATATAAAATGCTTCCTTATTGCCAAAGGTAGATTAATTAATAAAGTTAAGATTGTGCTTCCTTTAGGTTCTTTGCACCTAAACACAAAATAACAACATGTGAATGAGTGTTTATGAAACATCCCTCTTTTTTGTGCACCACAAACAGGCAATATATGCTCAGTCAGTAATGAGACAATCAGTTGAAAGGGCTTTTAATTTTGCCATAGATTTCTTTTTTCCTAAATTTTTTAATGATTAGGAAGATCTATACCCCTTAATTCAAGACATCTACAAACTAATGCATACTTCAGGCATGAATTGTCGACTTGTTCTCAATTATACCAATACTATTATTTTCATTACAGTATATCAGGATTTTAGTGATGTAGATATAGTAGCATTGTAACTGATATTTTATTGATGAATAAAGGTGCGTAGAAAAATGAAACCGTAACGTTAGATGTTTAAAGGGTGTGTGGAGAGCATATTTATACTGATTTATGAAATTACCTCTTTGTCATTGTAATGACAAGTTTTGGCTGCTTAAACAAGATTCTCCACTCTACGCTGGCCTGATATAAAGCACTTGCCTGTTCAGTTACAAAAAAGATGCAAAAGCGTATTTTTCCAACCTATCACAAGCTGTAAATGGGCAAATATCTGACCTCTACTTGCACGAGTACAAACGTGCATGCGTGCAAATCAGATTAGTCAAGTTATATCAGTGTTTTGCTTGGGAAATATTTCTAAATGGGCTACATGACTAAGAGGAAATTCCGTTTAATTCAAGAGGAGTTTAATTCAAGCTTATTTACCTGTACTTGATCTTGACTTTATCACGTACACTAACTTTTGCTGCGGTTTGGTGGAGGGGTAGTGGTGCGTGTATAGACAGCACAGGGTACGATAATGAAGTGCAAGTTGATTATGAGCTTTTTTTTGCACTGCCAGTTATTCTGCTTATAGTTGTAGAAAAACAAATTATTATTTATAAATTTAGTCTAGCTAGTCATACCACACTTAGTTGAGTTCGAAAAACAAGTGCCCGTGGAGCCTGTGATTAGTAATACATTTAATTTGGTGCAAGAAAAAGTGCTGCTTTCGGTTTGTATCTTGGAGCTAATTTTTTTTAGAGGTGATCTTTGTCTATTTATTAGCGATAATAATTCTTATCCAGCCAAAACAAACTAAAATGTACTTGTTTTAATTCCTCAAATTTCTAATTGTCTTATTGGCATTGCACTAAAATTGTTGAATTGTTTCGTCGAATGTATGCCGTGATAAAAGCAGCTTGCTTCGATGTTGGTGAAAATCTTGTATGCAGTAGTTGGCGATTAAATAATTAGCTTGAGGACAGGAACTTTGGAACTGAACCCTTTCAGAACTTTTAATAGATTGAGTTGGTGCATCTGGTGTTCTGTGTTCGAACAATAAGGGAACCGGTCACGAAGTGGCAAGACTTTTTTTTTAGGGTAGAGTATAACTTCTAAAGGGGAGTTACCTCCCTAAAATCGTTTAGTGCCATAACTGTTCTTTTCCCTTTTTCATTTTGACACATTTGTAAAATGTGAATGAATGATTCCTTGGGTTCAGTTTTTGAGTGTGCATCAAGACCATTACCAAAAAAATAATGAAGTCCAAGCTAACATAAGCTACTGTGCCCATTTATATATATATATATAAAAAAAATGTTTTTGGAGATCCACGTAGTGTTAATTATTGTAAAATGCCAGTACATTCACAATCAGACTGTCTCAAAATGGCAGTATATTCTTAACTGAGCTATCCTGATATACTGGTTAACTCTTAGTGGAGCTCCCCTCCACCTGTTTAAGTGAAAGCTTTCATGGCTAAGCCATAACTTAACATTTGCCCTTATTAATTGAATAGCCGGAGTTGAGTCATTCAGTCAACGACTCCTTTTAAAACAATATTTTCTAAATCTTCCATTGTAATTGATCAAACCCACGAACCATTGATAACTTTAGGTTTATGTCTACGCAATGGAATTATGAAACGCCTTAATTTCATTATTAACTGAAGGGCAAATTTGAAATTTTCCAAAATGACGCATTTTCTTTAGCTTTTCTTCTGGATCAACAAAATGTGCAGTTTAAGGAGCTTTTTGTGTTTGTTTTTTTACGCAACTTTGCTATGAAGGGCCAGCTTTCATTGCCTGTTGACCAAGCTATAATGGTTGCAGTTACTTGCAGGCAGTTGTAAACTAGTTGTCTAATAATTGTAACCATTTTGTTGGAAAGCAGATTAATTGTAGCTAACTCAGTGTCCTTATTGTATGTCCATCCTTGCATATTTGTACCGATATCATTTGTTTTTCTCGCTAAGGTATTAATGGCTGATAGAATGTCTGATTTACCTCAGCGGACCTCAGCGTCCCTACTACTTGAAGACACATCCATTTAAGGCAATACTCAAAACACCCGTTTCATTTAACTTTTGTCTATCTCCCAACTTTTTGCCTTAAGAGGAAATGGTATAGTTCAGCAGTCGCAGCACTTGAGAGATTTTTGTCGTTAACCTGGTATCTCATTTCGATGAGATTCATAAGAAGCACAGTTTTACAGGTTGTTTTGCTGAAAGATGTACCATACTGGCTTCTTGCCTAAAAATAATCATTTTCATGGAATTTATTAGGAGTTTTTGCACTAGAATATAGAAAAATAACAATTTGGTGTGTTTTTGTTTAACACATATGCGTATTTAGCTGTAAATTTTTTTTTTTTTTTTTGCTTTTTAATATTTGACCGTAAAACTAAACTCTTTGAGAAAAAAAAAATCATGATTTAGTTCTCCTAATTACTCCTAGTTCTCCTAAGTACTGATTTTCACACTTGAATGTGACTTATAAAAACATCATGATGAAAGTCTGCAGGGAAAAATAATCCGTATTGGAACGACTTTGGAACTACATCTGAAACAAGTAAATATAATCCAATGGTAAATTCTTTTTACAAAACAGGTTAGATTTTGTCCCCGTTTGTTTCAGTGTCTTGATTGAAACATTTAAGTTGTAAAACTTGTGTATTGTTATAAATGCAAATATTTCTAACAAGGTAAATAACAGAAGCACAAGATGTGCAAGATGTAATTCCTCGCGTGTGGTCGGTATTGCCTTGACGTGGCAATCTTACCTCATCAACTAGCAGTCCCTATAAATACTGGTACATGTAATTTGGGTGGGCTTTTTAGCTACGCATGATCCATGCAACTAGAATCCTAAGGTCACGTTCCAAGGCCTTGAAATGGGAAACATTGGAGTTTTCAAGGGGTGCTCTTGAACTTAAATGATGTCCTTCACCCTGGCTTAGTGTTTCTTCATGTTTCTACTTTATAAGCGCTAATAGTTCAAATTGTAAATCTGCAAGCGAATGATCTAGTCAGAAAAAAGCTGCTTTTTGTTGTTCTCGCCAGCAGCTTGTTTTCATAAGGCTATTTAGAAGACCATCGGAGCCTGACTGAATGGCTGATCTGACAGGGCACATAGGGATCCCTTTAAAATACATTTTCATATTTAAAAAGAAGAAAAAAAAGCTATGCAGGAATATTTTCTTTTTCTCTCACATAGTTGCATAGTGCCACCAGAGATAGCCCAAGAGCTTCACTGACCGATCACGGACCTTCAGAAGTTCATCTGTAAATCTAACACCGACCTCACTTGCTTGTTGGCTTCGGTTGAGAAAATGACTGCTTTGCGTGGCATGCTGCTATTTCTTTGGAGTCTGCAAGCATCTTCATCATCTCTTTAAAGTACTACACTTTGTGACGAGTATGTGGGATTGTGCCTTTTGTTATCAAGTACATGCCACAGGGTATGGTCTTCCATTAACACCTTTAGTGAGCCTTATGAATGAACAACTGTTGTAAGTATCAGAAATAGCCACCATCCACGAGGTTGCGTTTTGAGCCGTCAAAACCTGCGATCAAATTTGTCACAACACCGTAAATTGAATTCAACCATAATGGCAAAACATTTGATCGGTTCTAGCTAGTGACCTGTTCAAACTCTGTATGGAAAAAAAAACGTGTTTAGTTTTACAAAGTGTGAACTCTTAGTGAAGTAGACGTGTGCCGTGTCGTTTTTGTGTGGTAATGCATTGGAGATTAGTTGTAACCCAGTGTCTTGTAGAATGTTGGCATGACTCCTTTTCTCTGTTGTATTGACGTCAAAGTATCCACCTGAAATGGACTGAAGTGCAATAACTTTTTTGTGCGCCATAGTATCCTTAATGGAGGAAAATGCCCTCTTACATAATCCATCATGTTTTTGTTTTTTTCTTCGTCCTTTAAGCAGGGTATTTAATTTCACTTATTTATGTTTTTTGGATTGTACAAATTTGAACTCCTTCCTGCTTTGCCTCCGTAAGTGGCACTTTCTTGTGGAATGTACAATGGACTTGGTGGAAACTGTGATAGGTGTCAAAGCCTTATCGATACTTCTTGCTTACTGGAAAGATGGCATTTCTGTTTGTTCATCGGTTGATGGGTCAGAGAGTGCCGTTTTCCATGAACCTTCTTCTGCGCCACTTAAAGTCAGTGTCTGCTTTTTGTGGCATGTTAAGCATTTGTGTATGTTTGTGGGGGGTGTTTAGACCTGTTCATTTACCTCTGATCAATTGATACCAAAAGCAAAGTGCATCGCCAGGAATTACAGTTCTTTTTTGGATTAGTGATTGTGATCGCTGTATATGGAAATGGTATCTTGAATGTTGTTGTTGTTGTCACCAGTGAAATATGCAGGTTTTTATTTCTCCCCACACAACATTTGAACTTTGGGCCATATGTTCTGCGGTACCAAAGAACGTTTCATTGCTGATCTTTGGATCAGGGTTTGTTGTTTGTTTTTGTTTTTCTGACATCAGGATCCCAATATTTGTTGTTTCATGCCTTTGTACATTTTTGACAAATTTAAAAAAAAGAAAAATGGAACTTGTACCATAATGAAACATTCCTTTGAATTTCATTGAACAAAACAGAGATACCGTTGGCAACTAATACCAGAAGTCATATAATAATCTTCAAATTAACTTAAGTTGTAACTTAACTTTAAGCTCTTTCATTTTGGCCTCAAGCAATCAATGACTTCATATTTGATATCACAGGGAGCACACTGAATAAAGTAATCTAGTATTTCACAACATAGGACCAATGTATGTCTCTGTAGAGATGGCCACTTGATTTCATTCAAGAACAAGCAATACAAGTATCAAGAGACAATTGTATATTTCTAGAGATTTGTTGGCTCTGGCTGCTTTTGGCCTGGCTATGTAATCTGTGGCACCTTAGGTTAACACCCTCTTCTTGTAACTGAAACCAACATAAGAGATTTCAGTGCTGAGAGAGCCTTATTTCAGTCAAACTGAATGTGAATTGGATGTGTGCAGGATTTGGCCATTTCAAAGCGACTGGCTTTAATCGAGCGGACCTCATGCGTTCCGTGTTTGAATCCAGTTTCACTAAGACCCGCCGCCGTCTTTAAGACTTTCCAAAAGATTGCTGTTTCAAGAAAAGCAAAAATACTACACAGTGGCTACGTTTCCATCGCCTAAAGGCTGGGATAGATGAAAGGCTCATTCATTTCTGATAAAACAGGGTTACTGTCAAGCTCTGCTTGACCATGCCAAGTATTCGACTCGGTGATGTGACGGAAACACATTACGACGTGAAGGAAATGTGACCCTGACTTCAAAAAAAGCCACCAAACTGTTTACTTGAATTGAGACCCAAGCTGTTCTCTGCTAATTGTTTAGACGATGGAAACGTTGTCACGATCGTGTAGGGCAGCACCCGGTGTGTATGTGTTGTGCGTGCGAGTGCGATAAACAGGGGTCATATCAACCCTGTATACCTCATCGACATATCTGCAAATATTCTTATCCTGTCTTTAAGTTAAACGTGTAGGAGATACCATCACCAGCAGAAGCCTGGGACCATTGCAGGGTCTATGACATCACACCAATTCCATATCAAACAATAAGATCACGACTTGCTTGCCGCTTCAAGTCTGACCCATACGCGCAGTGTCACAAACACAATGGTTTAGAATTAGTGAAACGTGAGGCATTTTAAGTAGCATTATCCTACCTCTGTGTTACAGCTTGATGCATCTAAATCTCCACCAGTTGTTGACAAATGGAAATATATATGTATATGGAACAGATATAACTTATAACCAACAATCGGTGATATAAGACAACAATTAGTGTACTCGACTGTGTGTCTGTCTGTGTAACATGACATTTGTAAGTGTATACACAAGAGTACCACTGGAATGTGAAGCCAGACTGTATTATGATTTTTTTTTTTTTGTGTGTGTGTTTTTTTTTTTTTTTTTTCAAATTCAACTTTCTCCCCATTATATTTCAAATGATGTCAAATGTGTCTTGCCTCTATCGCTTCTTTTTTTTTTTTTTGACAAAACGGAGAAAAATATCAGCCTATACTAGCTGGCATTTACATTTGTGCTCATTTTCCCCCCCTCCGTTTTTTCACTTTCTCTCACTTCTAAATGTTCACTGTGAGCGCTCTGAACTCAAGTTTACAGCTCTTCATGGTATGTTTGTGTATTTGGTCGAGTTCAGTAGAGTGCGTGGATGGTTGTATGACTTTGGTACTGAAGCAACAACTCAATTTTCTACTGGTGGTGGGGATTTGAAAGGGGGTTGGTTGGTTTGAGTTATGCACATTCATTCTGTACTAAAATATGGGGTATGTAGAATTCCCTAGCCTTACGCCCTTCCAAAAACACTACGCCGGTCACTGGCTAATTCGCGTTAGCTATCCACCACCCTGCCAACTTTGTACCTCTGTACATATCCATTTTGGACCTGGGGGCACGGGGCGAATTCGGTGGATTCTACCTGAATCTGTCAGGACGGTCACGTGACCCCCTCCTAGACTTAAGGAAGGAGAACCCTCACCCTTTCAACCCCACAAAAAGACCTCAAGCCATTCATTTCCTTATGTGACAATGCAATCCTGAAAGCACTTTGCCTTGTTAATTCATAGTACGAGCTTGTGAATGGTTACTTGTTACTAACAGATGTGAAACTCTGTACATGTATTTAAGTAAGAAAGAACATAATCGTTTTTAATTTGAGCTTATTAAAAATGAATTGGTCTCTCTGACTTTAAAGACAAAAAAACAAAAAAAATCCGATATGTTTTTGTTAGTCAGGTTCATGAACTGCTGCAGCCAGTAGGTCTTGTCATTCAGTATCGTGGCTTAGAATTGGTAATGTTGAAATAAAATGCTATTGCTACATACAAGTTGTTGTTGTTGTCTTCTGTTTCTCTTAACACTACACAATGTTAGCATGTTGTAACAGCACATTTTATTAAATATTACATCGTATAGGCCTTTTAACTTGGGATTTTTAAACTGCTTTGGTTCAAATTAAGGAAATATCTTTCCCTTTTCATATGAATGTCAAGAAGAGCTATATTTTTCATTAAACATTTTTATTACAAAAACGTTTTAATTTGCAATGATAGTTGAAAATATTCTGATATAAAAATTATGGAATTATAACCAATTTAAAATGATAACTGAACGATACGATGAAGAATGATACATTCTTAAACGCCCTTTGGCTGGAAACAATGACATTATGCTTATTGTAAAGATTGTAGATTATCATTTTAACAACAACCATGTTCAATACATAAGAATAAAAAAAAAACAATGTTTAAGGTTGCATAGGCATAGAAATATTTATATGATAAATGAAAGTAAGAGGTATTGATAACTGCATTTGCCTCATAGGACAAGTTACAGTTACATCGACTGGCCAGAATCACATCATTCAGTAAGATGTATTTCCCACATAAAAAAAAAAAAAAAACATTTTAGTGAGCTTCAGTTAAAAATCTGTTGACCGATGATGCCTATGTACGATATCCTCCCACTGTTCCTCTTTTTATAGCGATCCATTATCCCGTGCACTTTCTTCAGAATATCCACATCTACACAGTAGTTCATAATGGGATGAGGGTGTGTACACAATACTGCTGGTTTGGATGGAAATTCTCACACTGGTGTGATATCCTGAGGATGACATTGCATATGAATATTCTCTAGTTTATATCCTTAGTCTTCTCCCAGACTGATGGCAATATGATCCTCAAAAAGGGCGATGCAAAGCATGATGGCGCCCCCTATCAGCAGGCCCAGACTCTGCAGGAGGAAGCGCTTCAGAGGGCTGAGAGATCCAGCATCTCCATGGAGCATTTCCGGCATCTAGGGAAACAGCGTCACAACGTTAAAAGTTATATAAAGATACTGTATTCATTATTTCTGTAATGGAGATGCAGTGGAGTCTTTAACATTAACTACAATGGTAAAGTTGTAAATAAAACAACAGAGTGTGTTCTACAAGAAAAAATGTCAGTGTAATAACACAAAAAGGTTCCATTTTTTACCATGAAATAACAATGAAAAATATTTCTAAAGCATTTATTAATCTTCGATGATAATTAAAACATTTACAAGTACATTAAGCCTATTATAATCAAAAGTTGTATGTTAGCCTGCCTATATATTAATATTATATTATTTAATGGATCTGAGCTAACACAAATTAACAATGAACAGTTGTACTTTTATTAGCTAACATTAACAAAGATTAATAATTGTTTTGCTTATTGTTACTTAACATTAGTCAATGCATTAACTAATGGAATCTTATTGTAAAGTGTAACCTTCAGGCTTTCTACTTCAAATTTCATGTTTAATTCACAGTGTGTTACTTGCCATTTCTTTATACTTAACTGTGAAAATTACTAGCAATTTGTAAATGTGAAATTTGTTTTAAAGGAAATCCTACACATTTTTTTTTTAATTGTAGTTAACAGCAGCGACTTCATGACATAGGCATTCTGAATTATATCCGCTTTTCAAATAATTTTTTTTTTTTAAAGTCTTAAATGAACATTTTATGTTTACCATATCAGCAAGAGCAACATAAAGGAAGACCCCAGCGGTGACGGTGAGAATCCAAGGTGAGTGTGTCGCCCACTGGTTTCCCAGCGCCGTCCCTGTAAACACACCGAGAAAGCCCAGCAGAGCCGAGATTCCGCTGAACACAGCCAGTCTGCGTACAGGCCAGCCTGCGGCCAACAGAACCGCCAGATCACCTGCAGACACGAGCAAACACATATACAGTATATGCAATACTGATGATTCATAATGACCATTTATAGGCTACTAGAAACTACTCAATCATGTACCCAGCTCATGCGGAAGCTCATGGCAGAACACGGCGATCGTAGTGCTGAGTCCACCGGTCAGACTCTGAGAAAATGCAACGCCTAGAGGACAAAAAGAAAAATTGAGATTAAATGTAATAAATGCATTCAAAAGTACTTTTATACCAAAATTAAAGGTCAGTGTTTCTCAGCCAGCAAACATTTTACACTGTGCACCAATACACGGTAATATATATATATAGCATATATAATTAATTTGTGCAAATATCTTTATCTAATGAGAGTGTAATTAATTAAACATTCATTTTAATATTATTATTTAGTAGTTAGTACACCTTTAATGAGTGATCGTTTTATCTACCAATGGCTAGTCCATCTGTAAGGTTATGTATTCCATCTCCCATCACCACCATCCATGCCATGCTTCTGATGCTTGTTTTCCCTGGTCCAGGCTGCCCATGAGAATGCCCATGCTCTGAGCTCTCATTCTGATTGGCTAATGAGGTACCTATAACAGGGTACAGATGCATTTATAAGTTGTGTAACCATTTTTTCCTTTCTGGTTTGCTCTGTCAACTTGTGTGAAAATAAAATACCTTCCAGGGCGTCAAGCTCCCTTCCAGACTCTACATTGTGCCTCCTTTTCTTTAAAATCTGTTAAAAGAAGGGAAAATTTTGTAATGAGAAAAGACAACCACTCCACATCTCTTTCCTCAAAACTAAGTGTTTTTATTTAAGTCAGCAGGTCATAATGAAAGTCCAAAAATATATCTCCCACTGGACGAAGCTCACCTTGAAATGTTGCTTAAGTCCCAGGAGACTCTCAAAGACAAATAGAAGGTAAAGTCCTCCCAGCACACTCAGACCCTTGAAAACAGCATCCTGATGTTCAGTGTGTTGACTGAAGATGGCCTGAAATCACAAACCACCAAAATCTATAGCGCTTGAATAAAAAATGCACCTTTATTTTATTCGTTTTATAATATTATTGTATATATATATATATATATATATATATATATATATTCAGATAATTATATAATTATTTTTTATTTAATAATTTATCTATAATTTAATAGATCATTTTATTGTATCCCAGCTAACAGGGAACATTCTCAGAACTTCAGCTAACGTTCTTGCAAGGTTCTTTCAAAGTTGTGAACAAATGTTCTTCCAGTAACGTTAATAGAACGTTGTGAATGTTAGAATGGTCTTTAATAATGTTCTCAAAACAGCACAAAAACTTTATTTATACATCTGAAATGTTCTGAAATGAAATGTCATTTTTTTAAATGTTACTGCTTGTTGTTCAGAGAACATTCAAAAGTAACACAAAAGGAAGATATTTCGAAGAATGTAAGAATGAATGACTTCCATAGTATTTTTTTCCCTACTATGGAAGTCAATGGGGCCCATCAACTGCCTGGTTACTGACATTCTTCAAAATCTATCAAAATATTCTATCAAAAATATTCTTCATACAGGTTTGCAACAATGTTTAAGGGTGAGTAAATGATGACAGAATTTTCATTTTTAAGTGAACTATTCCTTTAAGGTTAAACCACTGTTGTCACATGGACATGTCAATGCCCCTTTTTACAAGATGTAAAATAAGTATTTGATGTCCCCAGAGTATGTATGTGAAGTTTTAGCCTAAAATACCCCACATATCATGTTTTACAGCATGTTAAAATTGTCCCTTTTTGAGGCTAAGCAAAAATGCGTCATTTTATGTGTCCCTTTAAATCAAGAGCTTGTGTGTGTGTGTGTGTGTGTGTGTGTGTGTGTGTGTGTGTGCAGCTCCGATAACCTCACACAGACACGCATTAAATGTCAGAAACTGTTCTGCCTTTTATGTTTAAACTGGAGTCAGACAATGATGGAGAGACTCAAGAAGAAGTGACAACGTAGAATGCAACAGGACGTTTCTGAATGGTTAGTTGATGAATTTATGTGGAGTTAACTATCTTCAAGTTTTTGATTAGCATATTCTGTCATGATAATCTATAAAATCGCTCGTGAGGGAACTGTTGTAAGATGCCTACAACTTAATGGGAACATTAGCAAAACGCTCTTATAACATATTTTTGTTAGCTGGGATATTTGAAGAAGTACAGAATAATTATGTATTGATTTTTCATTTGCATTGTGTTACTTACATGGGGCAGGAGGTGCAGGAGGGCATCTCCACAGAGCGTACCCACTGCCATCCCAGCCATCGGGCAGAGGAATATTTGAAGGATAGAAGGTTGGAGCAGGGGTGCCAGTCCCAGGGCAACCAGGGAGGGCAAACTGATGACAAAGAGTGCCAAGGAGGCCCAACCTAGAGCTGAGATAAAAAATGTGTTTAATCATCACTATCATGAAAACAAACACAAATTTATTCTGATATCACACTTAAGGGAAACAGTTTACACACACACACCTCTGAGGAAACCCTCACTGGTTTTGCTTCCCTGTGACTGCTCCTCTGTATGTCGCAGACACACTCCTGTGTCAATCTGGTACAGGAGGGCAGGGCACAGGAAGGTGAAGTGGGCAGGAGTGATATGGGACGCTTGGCCCAGCCCAAAGTTCCACAAGAGCTGGGTAACGTTTAGACACTGCGATAAGGTAATAAGAAATGTGAGATAAGATTCAGATTCAACATTATTACATGGCTCTCTGGAATACTCGATTCTGATTGGTCAATTTTCCTTATCCGATGTTGTCCATTGCAATGGTGCACATTACAGTGCTCTTCAGAGTAAAACTTACATTACTTCCATTTCTCCCACTTTCTCTTGTTTTGTCAGAACTGACTTCAGTGTTAATATTACTGTAATATTGTTGCAGTGGCCGTCATGTCAGTATAAGGTCGACTCGATTGTAAATAACTATTCTTTTCCTTGTGGGACACATTAAGATAATATACAGGCAAAGTTATAAAATAATCAAAACTCAAATTAATATTTGAAAGATCAGATAATGACTACCTGACTACCTATCTTGTAATGGAAACCCATTTCTGCCACTTAAGAAAATAAATATGCTTTGGTAAATGATAATTATGACAAAAAAAAGTTTAAATTATGAGCTAAAAAGTCATGTCTGTTGTGACATACTAAATTATGAGATTATAAAGTCAAAATTATGAGATACAAAGTCACATTTTTCATTTCAATTATCTCATAATTTTGTATTTTTAACTATATATGACATTTTAGCTCATAATTTCAACATTTTATATCATAATTTCAAAATAGTTTTTGTCATCTTTTATGTCATAATAATTATAATGTTAACTCATAATGTCGACATTTTATCATAAGTTTGACTTTTTATAAATGATGGCTTTGTAACAATTTTGACTTTTTACTCACAATTACATTTTAATAATTTCAATATTTTGTCATTTCAAATTTTGTCAATTATGTTTTGTCATAATTTTGACTTTTTACTCACAATTATGACCTAATACGTCATCATTTTTACTTTTTTATCTCGTAATTATGACTTAGTATCTCATAATTTTGACTATTCGTGTCATAATTATGATTTACCAAAGCATGATTTTTTTAATGTGCAGGCAGAAATGGGCTTCCATATGTATTTACATATGCCAGATACTGTGTTTTATGTGTTTTACTATACATGACCATGATCAACTAGCTTTGCCAGTCGAGTTTTACTGATATACAGTATGGCTCTTCTGGCCCACCAGCTAGACCAGCATTAAACCAGCACTAACCAGTTAAAAAAATCTTTTCAGCAGGGCACATGATTATTATCTCTCTCCAAAATAGTCTGTGTACCTCACACAGAACGAGAAAGGCTAATGGATTGAATTTTACTGTCTGCACACCTCAAGATATCAACAGACCTTTGGTCATGTGATAGTGAAGAGGATTCATTTGTAGACTTTGTCCATTTGTAACACCCTAACAGGAAGTTCAGGAGAAAATACTCACATTCCCATGAAGGTGTTTCTCTGTAGGATGGTCTGACAGTGGTGACACACTTTCTTCCACTTTGTGTCTTAGGCCAGGGTTTGGGAAATAGTCAGAGTGACCCCATTCTGCAGGAGATCCACTGAGCACTGATTTATTGTGAGGTCTAGGACTGAATGTTGTAATGGATTAGTCTTTGGCACCAACCAGAATCTGTGAGTGTAGAGAAGATGCTTTAGCCATCTTACCTTTCTTTGAGTGGAGGTGAGTTTGTGGTCTTTGGATGATGATGGTCATCATGTGAGTGGGAATGGAACAGGGTTTGAGAAGAATGCTTCACTCCATGTTGGATCTCCAGGATACTGACTTCCCCCAGACCTAAACTGCCTAGCAACTTCTGCAGACCCTCATAGGTTAAAGTCCCATTGTCCCCATACTGAAGGAACAGGCGTTGCAAGTAGTAGCCCTTGAGAGAATTATTAAATCCAAATTACTATTTTGTCAACAGCTATCATTTTCAAGGTCCATAGATGTTAATATTTGTATGATATAGTGCATTGGGGTCATAAACGTAGTCTGCAACTGTAATCCCAATCCATGAATTTCAACACAGGTGCTGAAACTATTTGAATTTGAGTGATTGCATCAGTCATTGTTGATAAGATTTTTTGCACTCAGTGTTAAAATCACTTGATATCTTTATGTTTTGAAAATCCCTCAAGGAATGTGGTAGATCTACTTTACCAGGCATGTAACCAGTAAATCACAAAAGCCACTGTGGATTCTCAAAGACAAGCATAATGTCACTTAAACTATAGTTTTTTATAAAAATCCTCTAAACATACCTGCTCTTCAAAAGCTTCCTCTAATTGTTCCTGTGTAGACTTGACTTGTGTGCTCTCATTCAACTTTATGACCTTGTCGACCTGGGCATGTGTTGCCAGTATGAAGAATGGTGGGATCATCACAGAAATCATACAATGGTAGAGCAGAAGCTTCAAGCTCAGAGTCGTCCTTGGAGAAAATGCAAATAAATATAAATCATTTTATCATGTGGGTTTTAATTAAGCATAATTCAATAGGCATTGCTGAATCAATTAGAAGAGTCAAGTCACCTTCATTTGTATAGCGCTTTTTACAATACAGATTGTTTCAAAGCAGCTTTAATAGGAAATGAATGCATCAAAGATTGTTTTGGCTGTACAACAGGTCTAAAAAGATCACAACAATGTCTGAAACCGTGCTCGAATTTCCTAAGACACCAAAGTCTGTAATTTAAAGTCAGGTATCTTTTAGCAATTATGCTATAATGTTTTTAGCCATTTTCATCTGTGTAGGCCTATTTGTGTAGAATTTTCAAAATTAAATTTAGCTGAAGACATTCTTGTTACTATAATAAGAATTAAAAAAATTAAAAGAATAAATACTTTGGAAGATTCTTAAATCAAAACCTTGCAGGGAGCACATTGCATTTATTACCATGCAGTCTTTAAAGTTTCAGTAATGTAAATTTAGAATTTATGCTTTAATGGATCAACTCTTTACCTGACTATCTGTCCACCCATGATTTTCTGCAGTCTCTTAAGCGCGTTACATGATCTCCTGACCTGCTGTATCCTCTCAGTATAGTGTTTCAGCATGAGGCACACCGCACTGTTTTTTATGAATCTGATGTTAATGTTTGACCAGCGGCCAGCTTTGAGTCAATCGGAGGAGATCACACGACGCGAAGGCATTGATCAACTTGGTTTACCTCATGACTGTGATGTAAGTTCAACACATTCTCACTCCCATCCCCTCAAATATCATTGAAGTACTTTGACCTGTTCAAGTAACTTTCATGTCATCTGTATTTTCATTCTTATATATAGGCTACCTTATGATGTTTCAGATTAGTAAGCATGCAATATGTTTAAGGGAAAATCTGGTATAATTGCTCCTCCACACACACTCTGTCCTGTAGGCGCAGCAGCAGATTCAGACTTCATCCGCTCGGCTCAGGAAGAGAAATCAGCCATCTCTCAGATCACTACAAATATCAGTCTCTACATCCAGAAATCACATTAAAAGCCTTTGGGGGAATACCGCGATCTACGGGAACAGGTATTACAGTCCTGCTGAGAGATTTTTAACGCTTTATTCATGTCGACTAACGTTAGTAACATTACGGTATAGGACAAACTGAAGGCAAATGCAGTCACGAAACATGAACACAAGACGTTATTTGATCAGACGGTGTTTAAATGACATGTACATGGGTTTTGCTGACGGCTAGAATTTGTAATGTGACACTTAATAACGTGTGGTGTAATGTTTTTAGACCAAAGCTGCTCTTTCGGCATGCGTCAGCTAGTTGGATTTCATGCTAGTTAGCCACGCTAGCTCCTTAGCATGAGCTGATGCTGTAAATGTAATTTGACAGTGAATAAAATACATTTTGAGCCATTCGTTCCTTGCTGTACCAAAAAATCGTGAACACGGCAAATAAGTCATATGGTTGTGAGGAGTATGTTGGTTGTTTTTGTACATCAGCTTTAGCGAGCCGGCTAATGCTAAGCGCCACATTTAGTCTCTCAAACACATCAGCAAACGTGTGTTTCAGGTTGGCAGACATGAAGCCGTTTTCATCGCCAGGAGGTTTAATAGCTATACATTTGTTTACAGGTGTGTTGTCATGTCTGGTTCATTACTGTACATACTCCTGTATGTTAGCAGGAGTGTAGTTAACCTGTCTGTCCGAATCCAGCATGATATATTAATGTTCAAGACGGTCTGTTATTTTCTGATGCAATTATTTATGATCAGTATGCATATCGTTTAAATGGCTACATCTGTCCATTTAACATTAACCCTTCACGGAGTACCCTTATTTTTTTCTTGGTGTCTTTGCAGGTCTCTCTCTCTCTCTCTCTCTCTCTCTCTCTCTCTCTCTCTCTCTCTCTCTCTCTCTGTATGTGTATGTATATAATAATACTTGTTTTGTGAAAAGCACTCAACAAATAAATGTGAATTGAATGGTCCTTTGGTGATGGCAGTGAAGGACCCTCTTGATGGCATCCAAAGGTCTCCCACTTAAATTTAGTGGTTTGTCAGACCTGTCATCTGCCAAGTGGTCCAAAATATGAGGCAGTTTACACTTTTTTTTAATGGAACAAAATGGTATTGGCACTCGTAAACGTGTGCCAGAGCAGCTCTGTGCTTCCAAATGCACATTTGGTAATCATGCATCACTAGATCTTTATTGAATGAAAGCGAGGGATGCCATCGCTGAAATGAGGGTTTAGGGGAGAACGTTCTGAACCACCCACGCTCTCCCCCTCCATCTGCTTAGACAAGCTAAAATTAGGTCACCACCAGCCTACTGGGACAAAACACCACCCCTCCCTGAACTGTTATGAATCGAAAGAGATGCTGTGACTACCCTTCTTCGCTTTGGATTGGTTTTAACAAATGAGAAAAATTGATCTGTGTAGTAACCCCAGCATTTTCCTTCTTCTGTTTTATGTCTTATCAGATTTCAAGGAAAATTAGTGCTGCTAAAAGTGTTTTAGCGCTGTTAGCCTACATCATACATGTTTAATCCTTGCAGACCACATCTGCTTTGTTTCAGTAGGCTGTGGAAAAGTGATGGATGTCTAAAAACAAAAGATTTTGGGATTGCATTGAGTGAAAACTCACCGCTATAATTCGAGGGTGTAATGGATGGTTACCAGGGTGTTGCAGTGTTGTTGCCAGGGTGTTCTGGGTGGTTGCTTGCTGCCATTCCAGCCATAAGCCTCTATGATGATTTGGTCCCTATATATTGCTCAATGTAAGACTATGGGATTTTTTTTGCATGCCAGGCTAAATTCTGATTGTATGAACCACATTTGAGTCATTGTTTCTTAATCGCTCTTAAAGCACTGTCCACTGATGGCCACCCAAATATATATTGCATAGTGAACACATTTCACCACACATCCAACCCTGTGATAGGGTGTGCACATGTGTCTTGTTTATTGTATGAACCACATTTGAGTCATTGTTTCTTAATCGCTCTTAAAGCACTGTCCACTGATGGCCACCCAAATATATATTGCATAGTGAACACATTTCACCACACATCCAACCCTGTGATAGGGTGTGCACATGTGTCTTGTTGTACCATTACGTTTTCCGCCCTTTTAAATGAGCTGACTCTTAATTCGATTGCGATGCATCAAGGATTTAATGGTTTGGATTTTCACTCAAGAGACAAAGTGGAAGGAAAAAGTATCTCGATAAGCTTAAATGACGACGTCTATTGGATACAAAACCTCTTGAAATAGGGAATGGACTAAATGATGATGGTAAATATGCCAAACTTGTCTGAAGCTTCCAGGAAGTGTTTCAAACACGCTTTTTGAGTCTTAATAAATAGCAGTGTATTGATTGATTGCATCGTAATGTATGTCTTGTTTTCACTTTCTCTTTCTTAAGGGGGATGGTCGCTCTTGCATCGTAAGGAAAGTCGCCTTGCCCACCTGACACATGAGGACCGCTCATTGTACAGGGATCATGAGGGCTCTGCTTTAGTGAGGTATGAATGGCCTTTTCTTTTGAATATAATGGCAGGTAAATCACTTGTACTCCATTAATGCTACTGTGCACTTTCTAATTGCTCAGATCATGAATATTTCATAGAAGTTAATGCGTTTTAGTATAGTTCATATCAACAAGGTCTGCTTTCTGCTAGTTCTAGGACAAATAATGATGAGGTAATGATGAATAATGAAGATGGATTTTAATACCTTTCTTTGGAGTTTATTTTGGCTAATAACCGCTCACTTGATCGAAAATGTCAGTCTTACTGACGTGTAAAATGACTAACAGTTTGTTTTGTTTTTATTTGTAGTCTAGGAGTGAGTTTATCCAAAATGGTTTTAGTAGTAAATAGTAAATTATATATACATATATATATACATATATACAATAGTAAATTATAACATATATATTCAAAATATGGCACTGCAGTCTCCGTAAATACACTCACCTAAAGGATTATTAGGAACACCTGTTCAATTTCTCATTAATGCAATTATCCAATCAACCAATCACATGGCAGTTGCTTCAATGCATTTAGGGGCGTGGTCCTGGTCAAGACAATCTCCTGAACTCCAAACTGAATGTCAGAATGGGAAAGAAAGGTGATTTAAGCAATTTTGAGCGTGGCATGGTTGTTGGTGCCAGACGGGCCGGTCTTAGTATTTCACAATCTGCTCAGTTACTGGGATTTTCACGCACAACCATTTCTAGGGTTTACAAAGAATGGTGTGAAAAGGGAAAAACATCCAGTATGCGGCAGTCCTGTGGGCGAAAATGCCTTGTTGATGCTAGAGGTCAGAGGAAAATGGGCCGACTGATTCAAGCTGATAGAAGAGCAACTTTGACTGAAATAACCACTCGTTACAACCGAGGTATGCAGCAAAGCATTTGTGAAGCCACAACACGCACAACCTTGAAGCGGATGGGCTACAACAGCAGAAGACCCCACCGGGTACCACTCATCTCCACTACAAATAGGAAAAAGAGGCTACAATTTGCAAGAGCTCACCAAAATTGGACAGTTGAAGACTGGAAAAATGTTGCCTGGTCTGATGAGTCTCGATTTCTGTTGAGACATTCAGATGGTAGAGTCAGAATTTGGCGTAAACAGAATGAGAACATGGATCCATCATGCCTTGTTACCACTGTGCAGGCTGGTGGTGGTGGTGTAATGGTTTGGGGGATGTTTTCTTGGCACACTTTAGGCCCCTTAGTGCCAATTGGGCATCGTTTAAATGCCACGGCCTACCTGAGCATTGTTTCTGTCCATCCCTTTATGGCCACCATGTACCCATCCTCTGATGGCTACTTCCAGCAGGATAATGCACCATGTCACAAAGCTCGAATCATTTCAAATTGGTTTCTTGAACATGACAATGAGTTCACTGTACTAAAATGGCCCCCACAGTCACCAGATCTCAACCTAATAGAGCATCTTTGGGATGTGTGGAACGGGAGCTTCGTGCCCTGGATGTGCATCCCACAAATCTCCATCAACTGCAAGATGCTATCCTATCAATATGGGCCAACATTTCTAAAGAATGCTTTCAGCACCTTGTTGAATCAATGCCACGTAGAATTAAGGCAGTTCTGAAGGCGAAAGGGGGTCAAACACAGTATTAGTATGGTGTTACTAATAATCCTTTAGGTGAGTGTATAAATTATTTGCAGAAATGTGTGTAGTTAAAAAAAAAAAGGAAATTCAGTTTGTTCTCGAGTATTATTTAAAAAAACAGATACTCTGCTTGTGAATATCTACTTCTGTTCTATGTTTTATCTACTTCTGTTCTATGTTTTACTTGCTACTAAGTGAAATGTATCACATGGCAATCAGGGCTATTTAATGTTAAATACAGAGCTACATGAAGCGATTTGGTGCCATAAGATTTTGTTGTGGAAAAATAGAAACCAACCAATTGACAAAATGTCCTGACGCTTGTCGCAGCTGGTTAGGGCTAAAACTGAATTTACATGTAAGTGATGGCTTTTTAGGACACCGTTACATCTAACTGATTAATGATTGATTGCTTTCCATTTTGTTGTTCCCCAAAATGAAGTCAGAAAGGAGGTGAAATTTCCATCCACACAATATTAATCTTAATGCAATCTCTAAGGCCTCTCAAAAATTGTTCCCATTATGTTGCTTTACTGAGTTCGCAGCCACACTTCACAGTGGACCCATATTCCTTGACAGCACATTAGGAATCTCATACCCGCATACACACAAACACACAGCCATTGCATTTTTCACTTGAGAGAGCTGTGTAGTCCTAGTGAAAAAAGAAGAAAAAGGTCACCTTTGAACAGGAAATACGATCATGTTACTTCTGTATTGTAGCAGGACATTGAGTGCCTCCGTGTTCAGCTCAAAATGCCATGATCATTAAACCTCAATCAGTTTACTTTTAGTGCTTCTTCTAAGGAGTTTTTGATAGTTGTTCCGAAACCTACATTTTAAAGCATCGTTGTGATTCTGGCATAAAGGCTGTTCCAGAAGCGAAAGCGGTGCCTTGTTTTAGCCCAATTTAAAGGCTGCATTGCTAGTATCCCTATGAGAACACATCTTTTGTTATCGTTTTGATCTAAGCCATTCGCTGTAATCCTAAAAGCTTCAGTTTAGTATATTGGTTTAAATCATGTTTAGGCCTGCTTCCTCAGTTTTTCTGCTCCTGTGTTCGATTCGGTTTTCACTTAAAAATGGCCAACAAAGGCTACAAGTTTTCAGTTTCATCTTGTTGTACATCCATGGCTCCTCCTGCTTTTCTGTCTCAGAGGCAATTGGCAAGCGTACTGGCCGAGCTCTCACTACACGCTCTTCCTGCTGGTTTTATTTCAGATATCAAAGGGTTCCGGTAATGTGCCATGGGGTACGACATCACCAGGTTCCAAGGAGAGGTGGACGAGGATCTGTTGTGTCCCATCTGCAGCGGGGTGCTAGAGGAGCCAGTGCAGGTCGATATTTATTTTCATTCAACCGCAACATCCCAGAACACCTTGATATGAGCCTCTGTCAAGACATTATGGGTTTGTGGTTATCAGATATCACTGCTGAGACCATTGTGTGAATGTGTTTTACAAAGGTCCAAAATTTTCTTTGTAAAACCTGCCAAAATTTACAGGCTATATTTCTTTCACCAAAAAAATGATTATGTACACACACACACACACTTTTATTAATAAAATTGCTAATAAAAAAACTAAAATGTATTATTTATAGATAACTGTTTTTTCCTTGCATATTAGTAAAAAGCTTATTTTAACATGAAACAACTAGACAGTAAAAAGTCGGAAAAATGCACATTAGTTAGCCAGAAAAGTCAGTGCATATTGAGTTCAAGTTACTTCCTGATCAGTTTTTCTGTTCTCTCAGGCCCCTCACTGTGAGCATGCCTTCTGTAATGCCTGCATCACACAGTGGTTTGCACAGCAGCAGATCTGCCCCGTGGACCGCACCGTTGTGACCCTTGCCCACCTTCGACCCGTCCCCCGCATCATGCGTAACATGCTTTCCAAGCTGCAGATGTCCTGCGATAACGCCGGCTTCGGCTGCACGGCCACCCTTCGGCTCGACCAGCTGCAGTCACACCTCAAGGACTGCGAGCACAACCCCAAACGACCTGTCACGTGTGAGGAAGGTTGCGGGTATGTACTTGAACAACCATCTTCACCATCCAGTTCTCGCTTAGTAATTCATAGCAGTATCTGGAGGGAGAATGCAGGGCTCCAGACTAAGTTCTACAGATGGTGGTGCCATCAGAATATCTCTTAAATTAAAAAAATATCTCTATAGATTATCATGACAGAATGCTAATCGACGACTTGAAGATGGTTGACCACATCAACTACGTAAATTCGTCAATTAACTATTCAGAAACGTCCTGTTGCATTCTAAATGTTTAAGGCTGAACACCAATGCTGACATTTTCAGTGTGTGAGATTAAACTGTTTTGTTGTTGCTGGTATGCCGGAGCATGAGCTCTTGAAGCTCCGCCCTCCTCTTGAAAGGGGACCGGGAGCACCAGCTCATTTGCATTTAAAGGGACACACATAAACATTGCGTTTTTGCTCATACCCAAAAGTGGTCATTTTAACAAGCTATACAAATTTATCTCTGGTATTTTGAGCTTAAACTTGACATGCACACTCTGGAGACGTCAGAGACTTATTTTACATCTTGTTAAAAGTGTCCTAATCGGTGCCCTTTAATAGTTTTTAATGTCAACATGCGCTACACTGATGTGTTTGACTTGCGCCATGGCACATCCTGTGTGAACGCCCCTCAATTGCTCCATTTTGCTCAAATCTGCTTTTACTCCTTAGGCTAGAAATGCCCAAAGATGAGATGCCAAATCACAACTGTATTAAGCATCTACGCAGTGTGGTGCAGCAACAGCAGACCAAGATTGCAGATCTGGAGAAGACGGCCGCTGAGCATAAGCACCAACTTGCAGAACAGGTCAGACCTGTGAATGTCACAGTGGATTAAAAACTTCCCAAAACGTCTTGGATTTTATGCTCTGTATTTTTAATCTGCCCATGATTTCTTTTTTCAGAAACGTGACATCCAGCTCCTGAAAGCTTACATGCGAGCAATACGGAGCGCTAACCCTAACCTACAGAACCTGGAGGAGAGCATAGAGTACAATGAGATCCTGGAGTGAGTGATCTGGTCTTCTTCTGCCTCTGTTTAGGCCAATATGAATTCAAACTAGACTGTTTTAAACTATTTATGAATAAGAAAATGTATTTTTCCTAATTTTAAACTTGCTTTAAAATAATTGGGGTTGGCATTTTTTTTAAAAAGTCTTTTATGTTCACCAAGGCTGCATTGATTTGATCAGAAATACAGTAAAAAATTTAATATTGTGAAGTATTACAATTATTAGTGTTTTCTATTGTAATAATATATTTCAAAATGTGAATTATTTCTGTGACGCAAAGCTGAATTTTAAGCAGCCATTACTCCAGTCACATGATCCTTCAGAAATCATTTAAGACATCATCAATGGTGAAAACCGTTGTGCTGCTTATTATTTTTAGAAACTGTAATAAACTTTTCACATTTCCTTGACTAGAAAGTTGAAAAGAATAACCTTTATTTAAAATAGAAATCTTTTGTCCTTGCTTAATAAAACTATTAATTTCTTTTAAAAAAAATCTTACTGACCCTAAACTTTTAAATGGTAGTGTTAAATATATTTGTGTTTGTATCTAATATATTTATCAAAAGAATATGAAAAAACGAAAAATCTGAAGGCACAGTATGTAAATTTTGCTGTTAGAGAGGTTATTATTCAAAACAATAACAAGGGCGTAGCTTGATGATGCCGTGAATGAGCGTGGAATCATGGGAGTTGGGAAAGCAATCAGACTGGGCAGAAATCATATTCATGGATGAGCTAATGTATTAAAGTTTTATTAACGTTACTGTAGTATGAAACAGGGTGGCCGAGAGCCTGGGACATTTTCGAATTAAAATTGTAGGGCAACGCAGCACTGTTTTACTCGGTCAAAAACAATCATACTAAAAATACATTTGTGTGTTGAAAGTTATGTTATAACGTTACTCTGTTCATTCACTCGGTGGCTGGTATGAGACACTTGCTGCCCACTTCAGTAAGCTAGATCGATATTAGAATATCATATTAATAAAAGATGGATGCTAAATGGCATGCAATTCATTTTAAAGTATAATGTATGGTGGAGAAAATGCTTTATTACTGTTACTGCAAATAAAACTCTTTCTGATTATGTTATGTTAGCCACTTGACAAAATAGTGCTGTCTATGAGGCATGGTACAAACATGTTAACTCATGGTAAATCTAGAAAACAAGAGATTCAAACAATAGGACTAACCTGATAAAGGTATCTATCCAAACAGTTGCAAACCTGTCTAATATAGCACATAATATATTAAAGCATCTTTATTGTTTCTACGGAATTAAAACCGGAACTCGAGGGTAAGGCGGATATTACGTCATTGACAGGCGACACAATGACGTTACACTGGTGATTTCTCTAGATTTAAACCTTATTGGAAACATTTGTGATAATGTTAGTACACAAGTCCAAAAATATATATATATAATATTGTTCTAGTGGATATATTCATCCAAATCTTATACATATGGTGCCTTTAAATTTAAAGCCATAATCATAGTTGTTTGTATTGTGCTGTGAATAGAATGTCAGTTTACTATGTAAATAATGAGCAAGAAAATGACTCATGAATACTAATAAATTACTGTTGAGCAAGTTATAATGCTAATACCATAATTGACAATCAGATGACTGTCAAACTAACTAGACTCGTTTGGCCACAGATGGGTGAACTCTCTGCAGCCCGCTCGCGTGACCCGTTGGGGAGGAATGATCTCCACACCAGACGCCGTCCTCCAGGCCGTCATCAAACGGTCGCTCATAGACAGTGGATGTCCTTTGTCGATCGTTAATGACCTCATCGAGAACGCCCACGAGCGCAACTGGCCCCAAGGCTTGGCCACGCTGGAGACACGGCAGATGAACCGCCGATATTACGAAAACTATGTGGCCAAGCGCATTCCGGGTAAGCAGGCCGTGGTGGTGATGGCCTGTGAGAACCAGCACATGGGTGAAGATATGATTCTGGAGCCAGGTTTGGTTATGATCTTCGCTCATGGTGTGGAGGAGATCTTATAGTCTGTACATAGGTGGGCGCAAATGATGAAAAGGAGGAAGGGGTTTGCAAAAACTGAATTACCACCCCCCACCCCCAATCTAAAAGATTCTTAATTCATCCCACTAAAAATAATCGAGACCTCTTCGGCAGTCTTTACCTCAAATCTTTTGGAAGGACGAAGGCAGAGAAAGCTCTCCACTCGTTTGATGACCTCCAGCATTCCTATTCTCTTTGCCTTAAAAGGACATTTTTCAAAAAGTGGACCCTAATGACAAATACCAACTTGAAACATTATCAGGGATGATGGTACACACATGTTTTAACATTAACATTGAAATCGAAAGGATTTGAAGTGATGTCTAATTTCCCCTTTAACATTTATTTCTCTTGAGAGCAAATACATGTCAATCACAGCTTTCAACCGTGTAAAAGACCAGTTAAGATTCTTGTAAATACAGATGATTAAGAAATATAGACAAATATGCTATCTGTTCTTGTTCTAATAGAGTAGTTGACATTTTTGCTGTCTTCATCTCAGTTTGCTATTTACAGTAGTGTGTTTTAGCTACCATTGATCTCAATGTTTTGTTTTTTTAAGAGAGCTATGATTAAAGTATGCTAGATAAAGAGCTCTCTTCTCGGTGTTTGCACTCTGTGGCGATTGGAAAAACAAGATGTCATGAATCTCGTTTTGTGAAGATGTTTGTCCTTCTTGAGAGGAAAGAGTGAAGAAGGATTTGTATGATGTAAATCAACAGCCGGTTTGATACCTTTTATTCCACACTGCTCTTTGAGTTTTTATGTGCAACCAGAAACTCTAAATTTTCAAATAATTTTTTCCAAAAACAATATTTTTATGCTTTTTATTATTTTCTACTGGCATCACTGGCTGTCTCACTATTAATAATCGGAACCAGATTTTTTTCTTTTCCTAAGACCTCGAAGGTTTCTTCTAGGTGATTTAGCGAAACCATAAATGATGGATGAAATGTATATGAAGTATACAAACATTTTGAAAAATGACCAACCTACAGCTGATGTAAAACCATTAAGTCTGCAGATGCCTAACCATATCTGGAGTGTGCATCCGAACCGTTTTTTTATCCATCATGTGCCACAGCACCTCTTGACAAATTTTAAAGAATAAAGAGATGGGACGGTGGTATATTTGTGTATATTGTGCAATTGGTTTAAGAATTTATTTTGCATATTTTACGTACCTTCATTGTACATAGTTGATTTAATCAGTTAATTAATTTGTGTTGTACGACAGTTGTCTTTGCAACCAAAGTGTTCTATTGTGTTGAATGCACATCGTGCTTGCTTTTCTTTGTTGTTGTTGTTATTGCTCGGACACCGAAAATGTAAGTTCAGCGATTCTGAAATGTATCTTTGAAGCTATTGTGTGTCATCTGCTTCAGTGTTACATAGACCTGAATGCTCAGTCCGTTGTTTACAGTAGCTTTTTTGCAAATGTTGTTTAATAAGAGCTGAAAACTAAGGACCCAGAATGTTTTAACTGCAATATTCAGCCGGGTCTATGTGAATTAGAGAGAAATGTATGTGAACTGCCTTATCACACTTCATTCGACACTTTACTGCATGATTGCTGTATAATGTGTCACATGGCCTCTCACAGTCGCACCCTGAAGCTGGAGAAATTAAACATGACCCAGTGAATTTCACTTCATGGATCTGATCACCTTATGCTAGAAAGTAGTGTCATTCATTAAATAAAGGTTCACTTCTTCTTGTGCTCAGTTTAATGAGGCCGATTCATCATCTCTTATTGGACACGCAAGACTTTCTTGACTCTCAGGATTTATCATCTGACGTCAGGGATGAAACGTTCAAAGAGCTCATGTTTCCCGCTGCAGCATTGTCCGTGGATGTGGCAGTCTTCTGTTTGTTTGTTTGTTTTTGTCTTTCATTCTTGCTTTTGTGCTGTGGGTTACTGAAAGAATATGAATAAATATCATCGATTTTGCAATATGACACTAGTGTCTTTGTCATTATTATTATTAACTTGGTAGCAGGAACTTCTTGCTGGTTGAGTTGTAATCAGTGAAAAAAAAAAAAGACCAATACAATGTTAATCAGCATAGAGACCTTACTTCCTCTTGTTTTTTCTCTCTTCTACCACACAATGTCACTAAAGTGCAAGTTTACTGTTACATTTTAACAGTCTGAATGGGTTTTCAAGTATTTCTGTTTCCATATGACAATTTTCAGCTAACTTTGCCATTATTACCGTTTAGTGACTACATGGTAACTTTTATCTGCTGATCTCCATCTATTTAATGGCTTGAACCCAAACAGTGCGCACAGGAATAATCCTCCTGTTGTTGGTATTTTCTTTGACCAGGCCATAGCCACTAATGCAGCAAGTCATTTTAATCCAGCCCATTATAGTGCCCCTGAGGAACGGAATGTCACATTGTTTTCCCAGCAGCTCTCTTGACCAGTTTCTGCTCGACTCAAACTACATTGGCTGGTCTCATATTTCGTAATAAAATTCTCTTATGGTTTTGATATTGGAAATACCTACCATCCTGTCCTGAGCAATCACAAAAGCCTGACCAGTTAAACAGTTTTGTTTCATGTCTCCCTGATAAATGAAATGATTCTTAATCCCTTTCAAAAAGTAAGGATTTGATTGGAGCTTTTACAATCTGGTACCATAAATTCCTGTATCAGTTAATCAAGCATTTGGCAATCAAATATATTATAGCTTAATTGAATGCCAACTGTTAAAGCAGTTGCACTAAGTACTGATATAAATACAATCACTCAGATGCCAAACCTAACACCGAAAATAATGGCATTTAACGATGACACTTTTAATAGTTTAAATATCACACCACCCTGTTGATTGTCCATGTGTAACCAAAAATCATAATGTAACAAGTTTCTGTTGATTAATCATTCATGCACAGGCCTATATATCAATCTATCTATCTATAGATCTATCTATCTATCTATCTATCTATCTATCTATCTATCTATCTATCTATCTATCTATCTATCTATCTATCTATCTCTGTCCGTCCATCTATCTATCTATCTATCTATCTATCTATCTATCTATCTATCTATCTATCTATCTATCTATCTATCTATCTATCTATCTATCTATCTGTCTGTCTGTCTGTCTGTCTATCAATCTATTTATCTATCTATCTATCTATCTATCTATCTATCTATCTATCTATCTATCTATCTATCTATCTATCTATCTATCTATCTATCTATCTATCTATCTATCTATCTATCTATCTATCTATCTATCTATCTATCTATCTATCTATCGTCGATGGGAAGCACAGAGCTCCACACACACACACAAACACATCTGATCAAAGTGCATCGCTCAGCTCAGACACATGAGTGCGGGCGGTGCTGTGACTTTATGGGAGTGTCACTCACAGTTAGGCGTGTTCACTTTACTGTCAGTTCTCAGCCGGACAAACACAGCTAAACGCTTTCTCACAGACGAAGCTAGTTCTGCCTCCTTCGCCACTTATTTATTAATTTTGTAAGCTCTGAAGCAGTTTTGGAGTGCATCTGAGTGATTTTGCTCTTGGCGTCTGTTTTAAAAACAAGACAGAATCACTAACCGGCTGCTGCAGACCTCAAGACATTAAGGTAACGCAAACGTGTATTTATTGTTATGGTGAGACGAGCGAGTTTTAGAGAGTTGACTACCTTTAAAACAGTAGCAGGGATTTTATACTGTGCTGCATGTAGTTCTCTTTCATAGGTTCACTCAACGCTGCGGAAAGCGCAGTGGGATATCCTCTGGATGTGCCGATTGTCTGAAGCCCTATAGAATCACGCCAATCCATTGGCTGATGGCGCTCGCGCAAAGCTGGCTCCGCCCCGACGCTCTTACGTCGTAGCATGATGTACGCGCGCGCGCCATCTTCTCCTCAGATTTCTCTGCCTTCACGAAGCGGTCACATCTCGCCCTTCGTGCGGTTTTTCTGAGCCCGAATTCTTCAATTCAACTTCAGCTTTCGTCTCGACACTTCAGCGACTGGTATAAGTGGAACTCTGTTCTCCTTACAGTGAAGTGTCATGGATTATCGACGCTGCTCTCCGCCATGCGTTCGTTTCATCTCGAACGACGACCCTCACAGTAAGTGTGTTAAATGTATGGGTTTTTCGCATGCGCGTGAGGCTGTATTAGGATTGTCGAAATGTAAATTTTGTGACAATCTCCTTCTCAAAACCCTCCGCTCTAGACTCGCGGTTTTTGAGAAGGAGACATTCGTTTCCCCCCGTCGCGCTCCCGAGACTGCTGAGGCCTCTCGTGGATCCGCGGCCTGGGGTTCGGATGTTGAGCTCGAGGATATTGAGTATGAGCAGACGGGCCTCGCCCTTTCTCTCCCTCCCTCTCCCGAGCACGCACGCGGCGCGGTTGAATTCGCGCATGATTATTTATGTCCCAGCCCGGGAGCCCGCGAATCGGTTTCTTTCGGTCTGGATGACGTTATTTACACTGCAGCCTCCGACTCCGAGGATTTCGGGCCTGCTCTGGCTGATGACGTTATCCCGCCTAGCGGCCAGGACGCGCGGCCTACTCCGGCCTACACTGAGCTTATTGAGGTGCTGTCGCGCGCTACAGAGAAGCTCTCTATTGACTGGCCTGATGAGCCCCGCGAGTCTCAATCGTCCAAACTCGACGAGAGGTTCCTACGTGGCCCTAATTCTAGGCCAGAACGAAGAAAGCTGCCCTTTTTCAGCGATCTGCATCACGAGATCTCCAGATCCTGGAAGCAGCCATTCTCCGCACGCCTAACTAATGCGGCAGCCGCTGACTTCACCAACCTTGTTGGTTTTGTGGAGCAGGGTTATTCCGCTATTCCAGCGGTCGAGGACACGCTGGCTAACCACCTCGCCCCGTCGTCTGCACCGTCTTGGAAGGCGCGTCCCCTTCTTCCTTCCAAGGCTTGTAGGACTACTTCCTCCCTTATTGGGAAGTCTTACATGGCGGCTGGTCAGGCAGGCATGGCCCTGCATACCATGGCCATCCTTCAAGCCTACCAAGCGGACGTCTTGAAGGACATGGATGAAGGAGAGGGACTGACGCCCGAAGCTGTCAAAGAGCTTCGCAAAGCCACAGATCTGGCCCTAAGAGCCACCAAGCACACTGCTCGGGCTGTAGGTCGCTCTATGGCGGGCTCGGTTGCTGCAGAGCGCCACCTCTGGTTGAATCTCACGGAGATCCGAGACAAGGATAAGAGTTTCCTCCTGGATGCCCCTATCTCCCACTCAGGTCTTTTCGGGGAGGCGGTCAACACGGTGGTTGACAAGTTCCGCGCCGCTAAGTCTCAGTCGGCCGCGTTCAGGCAGTTTATGCCCAGGAGGGTCAGAGGGCCCAGTGACTCCAACCCTCCCCCTTCTCAAACCCGAGAACGCTCTGCTCATAGGGCTGAGTTCCCTACTAGCAGGAGTGACCCGGCTCGCCACCCACCAACTACTGTCTGGGGAGCCCGAGGTCGTCCATTTCCTCGCCAGCGCCCTCACAAGCGCCTTCAGCTGAAGCGGTCCAACAAATCGGCCGCTCCAGCCTCCTCGAGCCGTTCCTGACCCGCAGGGCAGGAAGAGGAGAGCCTCATCAGATCTACGAGGTTGGGACAGACCGCGCAAGCGTTTCTGCCCTCCTCCAGCCGGCTCTCCTCATCCAACCCTGTCACCTTCGCCACCCAGCGTGTTTCGAAGTGCAGGTCCTGTTTCACTCTCTTCACCCAGTCCGGCGCAGGAGGAAGGAGACGCATCTTGCTTTCTCCCCTCGCTCCCGGTGCACGTTACACCCGCCAATCGCTTCCTC